TTTGTTTCTATTGACAAATGAACACATTTTTTCTATTGTATTACTCTGTACCACACATTCCTATACAACATGGTGTAAAAAAACACATTCCTATACAACATGGTGTAAAAAAAAGCGATAAAACACTTATGCCCACCTTCAGATAATATAACGTGCGATCAATCTTTAATAAGCATCACTAAACCACTTTGTAATTACTATGGACCGTTCTGAACTTAAGTGAACTAATAAATCAGCATTAATCTATATATATAATTCTCTTCTTGGAGACTTTAGAAAACAAGCTGTAAGCGCGCCTTGCAGTCCCCTCTCTTCCTCTCTAGGAAGTCTGGTGAGCTGTGGTTCACGCTAAATGTTTACAATCGTAGAGCCGGGTTTAGTGACGGCTATTAGGGGCATATAATTTAGTTAAACTAAGGGGAGGTAGCTAAGAGGAGGCTGCTTTCACGGGGGGGGGGGGGGGGGGGGGGGGTTAGGGGTTGGGGGAAAGGAGGGGGGGGGTATCATCCTTAACTGATAGTGTTTTAAAGCAAATATTTTCAGTGACAGCAGTGGTACTGTCGAATTCACAAGTTATGAATTACTGAAAAGTAGAAAAGAAAACAACTAAATAGCGGCGTATCAGCCGCGGGTCGGCTCGTTTCATTTATTTGATTAATACAATCAGTTACAAGCTAAGGGAGTTAACCCGAATAATACCGATTAGAATATTTGTAATAACCAGTGTTAACCCCCTTATGTAAGTATTACAATATTTATTAATTAGTCCTTTTTAAAAAATACGACACATAAACGTCATTTTTATTTTTTTTAGAAACGTAATTTAAAGTATTTCGAACGGTTATTCGAGTATAATGTTAATACTTTTAAAAAAATGTCGCAAATAAAATAGAAATTTAATAAGAGTGCTTCTTCCCATTAATTACTTGTTTATCTTTAACTGTAAAGATAACGCTTCACTTTATAATTATGTTTTAAATTGAAATTGATTACTTTTTTAAAAATATTTCAGTTTGCTTAGTTAAATTTGCTATTATTAAATTTACTTTTGTTAAATTTTGCCACATGCGGGGAGATAACCCACGGTATCAATTGGTGAATAGAATAAAAGGGCGTGAAAGAACACCGAACATAACAATATTGACCAAAACCACATAACCAAGGAAGCTTTTAGAATCAACCATCGGTTGTTTTTTTTTAAAATTACAATCAGGTTATTTTTTTTACAATTTAATAATCAAAGTCTCAATTTTTTTTTCTAGCATGCAATGAAAGGAATTATTTCATGAATATTTTATATTCAATCTATTTATATATTTTTTTTTGTCTTATACAATGATGAAAACATTTTTAAAAAAGTGAAATGAAATATTCTAAATTATACATGTCGAAACTCGGTTAGGTGGAGATTAAAAGGTACATACCCAATAATTATTCAATATTCTGAAAAATGTTTCGTTTTTTACAAATAATCCCAAGGGACATAACTCAAATAAACATTTAGCCTTCCTATGTATCTCGATCACGTAGTTATGATGGTGAGAAATACACAGCGTCACATGACCGAAAGCACGTGATAAAGAACATCAGGATTTATATAAGTATTATTACTCTCTTTAACATTCACGTTCTCTATTCCTTTCTGATATATTTTAATTTGAATGTAAATACCCCCCTCCCAACCGTCCTTTTTCTGGAAGTCGTAGTCTCTCACCCATAACCCACTCCACTCCCTTCCCTCCCCGTCTCTGATTCCCACTTAGGGTCAAGGCAACAGCTGACACGTCCATACTTTCACAAACTATATGCGTATGTGATAATTGACGAAAAAATCTATAGTGGTCAAATATAAGTGTGGCCGCACTTGTTTGAGTTTCTGTGTTCCAATCGTCGATTTTCAATTGTATGCAGATCAAATCAAACGATTTGAAACACATTATTAATTAATACCAGAGATCATGTATGTATTTTAGACAAAGGCGTAGCGAGGGGGGGGGGGGTGCGGAGCGCACCGGGTGACACCATTTAGGGGGGTGACACCAAGGCAAAAAAATAGCAAAATATATAGATAAAAACTTGAGGGGGGGGGGGGGTGCAAATCGAAAGTTTGAGGGGGGGGGGGGTGCAAATCAAAAATTTGAAAGTTTGTCCCCGGGAAGGGTTTCTACGCCTCTGGGGGGAGACACCATTAAGTGCCGCGCCGGGTGACACCCGACCTCGCTACGCCACTGATTTTAGAACATTTTTACACTTCTTACCGTTCATGCTAACGAAAACAGCCAGACCAAAATGGTGTCACTAAGCTCCACCGCCATCCACCCACCACCAACCCTCACACGCACACTGAAATTAAACAAACCACATATATTGAACATAACATAATGGAGACTTGTTAGTCAGAGTTTGGTGGTCTCAAGGGCGTCTTAAGGACTCGAGCCATGGATCCGAACTCGAGACTTTCAGGTTAGAGATCCACCGCTCTACCATTCGACCACGCCGTCGAAAAAAAAAATCGCCCCTTTTTTATGTAAAAACATAAATTAGAACCCATTTTTAATTTCGCACCTTACGGCGCCCTCATTACCCTGTGTCCAGCTGCATACGCCTTTTTACTTGATGTAAACTTTGCCTTCATTTTCCATCTCAGACTCAAGGTCGGTAATACGACCTTGACCCCACATGTTATGTTGACTTATTTAAAGACGAACCCTAGCTTACAACTATAACAGGCCTACTGATCACGTTTTCCTATAGACATCTATTCACTTCATTTCGCCAGTTTTTATTTTTGACCGCCATAACTGGACGCAACAGATTACTAAAATATATCGGTCAAGATTTGAAAACAACAGACACAACAACGTGATATGGGAAATAACTGTGTCGCCCTTGACTTTGTAATTCTATCAACAAGTCCAAGAGAAAGGTAATTCGACGTGTCAATTAAAACAAATAATTCGGTTAATTTAGGGTTAATAGTGGTTCTCCTTGTATTCTGATAGTGGGAAGATTTTCTATGAAATTATGTAATTCGTTTAATGCATTTACATTGTATTTCTGTATTGCAAGTCGAAATATTTGGTGATTTTCAAGCATTTAACTTGATTCCTCCATCTGTCTGTCGTCTGTCAAGGGTATAAACTTGCGACGGAAATTTCACCCATTTCTACCAAACCGATTAGTTTCAAGCTTCAAAAGTAGGTCAAGCCCCGATGATAATGCAATACTTATTGCATACTACAATTATCTTAATACTATTAATTATAAAATAATATTATATAATTCTTAAACAGTTTTCTTTTCGTTATTAAGGAAAATAAATTAAAACACGTTAATTTACACTAAGGACTAAGAAACTAATTGACTCTACTTCAACTGCTTAGCCATGTATAAAAGAGTGCTTGAGGAATTGGATAGTTAACAAAAGAAGTCAAAATATGAATTATATATTTTTTTAACAGAAAGTTAGGTACACTTTCAGACATTTAGATTTTTTTAACCAAAGGATTAAGAGGGATTAAGTGGCTGAGTGATATAGCGTACGCCTGCTCTCACATACGTTTCGAGTTCGATGCCAGACTGTAGTCTGTATAACGTGTGCACCGTGTGTAGCACTCTTATCTAACCAGCGATTTGGTCAACTACAACAACGGTGCCGTTGTGACCTTTGAACTTTGGCGCAAGCAGTTGTGAAACTTTACGCTAACAGTATAAAAATTTCCTTACTTAGAGATAAAAAAACAGCATTTATATGTAGGTCTTGCCGTTATTTTATAGGTTCTACAACGTTAAAATACATGTGTTCTACATACAACATGGTAAAAATACCGGTTGTACGTGGTTAAAATAAGGTTTCAGATATTAATAATAATGGCTGTAAATGATTAATGTTCTGCAAATTTTAAATGGTTAAGATATATTTTCCGAAAAAAAGGAATAAAAAATAAATCATAAATATGTTGCTAGGCAATAATAAATACCATGCAGAACTATTTCTGCCAATCATGATCATGATCGACATAAATTGAATATCACCACCGAGTCACTATCATCATGTACATGAAATGTGTTCCAAAAAAAACACCGATTAATTGTGTACAACCACCCCCCCCCCCCCCTCCTTCCCTTTTTTTCCCCAATCAAACTTCAGAAAATATAAAAATCTATTAACCACTTGCTAACTCTGCCTAAATCTCTTCCGGAATTTGTTTAAGAAATTATATTGACATAACAGTCACGTGAAAAAAAATCAGACTTTTTGAATTTTCTGCATTCCCCATTTCAATTTCAGTTGGCAAAATAAATAAAAAATAAAAAAATAAAAGCACATTTTAAAAAAAAAAATGTGTCCTTTCTTTCACGATATGTTATCGTGCACTAAAAGACATACGCAATAATTAAATAATTAAGCAATAGCGCTATATAGAACCCAACCTTCCCCCTTCCCTAATAATAGAATGGGCACATGACACACACAACAGAACTGTTGACATGGAAAGCTGGGGAGACTACTCTAATGAAGAGATCACTTGACCGCGTTTGTTTATACCTTGAGGTCACAGCGTCGTGTCAACAGGACCAGTAACTCTGCTTGCCCCAATGTTGCCCGCCTTGGTAGAGAGAAAATAAAATATATGTCAAGGTTCTCTCCCCTCGTTCACCGTAGTGAAATGGCACTCGTGGATAGGAAACCTCTTTTCCTTAAATTTTATTATCCCTGTCATTCGTATATATATATATATATATATATATATATATATATATATATATATATATATATATATATATATATATATATATATATATATATATATATATATATATATATATATATATATATATATATATATATATATATATATATATATTATTTTTTAAATGTATTTATGTATTTTTGTATGTATTTATTTATTTATTGCCTGAATGTAATAAATGTGATTTTGTGACATTGATATTTTATACATTGAAAATGACATGGTCACAGTTGTCTACAATGTAACTCTACAGATAACTGTCTTTTCGAGAGACCATGGGGAGGGGTGGGGATTCTGATCCAAACAACATCCCCTATCTACGATACGTTTCATACCTAAAACGATGCCAGATTTTTTTTTAAATTGATAGAGGCTATGACTTATTTTTAAAAATAGTTAATTAAGCTAATTAATTAAGTTAATTAATAAGAAAATTTAAAACTTAATTAATTTAATTTTCAAATTATACCACAATGCAGCTCATTTAAGACTTTTAAAGTTATTATTTTTTTCAAATAATTCGAAATAAGAATCAGCCGTTTAGTAATTATAAAAGTGTGTTCCTCATTCTTCTTTACTGATGTGCATTATCATGGGGTGAAAGGTCAGCTTCCTCATGCCATTCTGGTTATTATTGCCATATGTTTAATCCCCTAACTTTGTACCATTTGTTTGTGTAACTGAATGCGAGTTTGAAATTATTAAGATGTAATCTTTAGTAGGATTTGTAAGTCAAACGTGCGATTTTAGTAGACAGTGAGCCAGCTCCACCTCCAATCCAACCCAATTGCTACCGCCCTGCTCCCCCCCCCCCACCCCCCCCCCCCACCCCCACCCCCTCCCGACCATTTTCAACCCCTTGCCTCAATTATAGCAATAATCTAAGAACTAGAATTTTGACAAAAAACATTTCTGTAATTAAGAAATGCAGAATTATATTATGTAAATCGTCTAGCCCCCCCCCCCTTCCCTCACAAAACACACACACACACTCACCGTCATCACAACAGTAATTTAAATCTTAACATTTTAAGTGTGCAGTGGATCGCTTATTTTCAAAAGAAAACTTTACAAGTCTCCACACGTTGTCTCCCCTATTCTGACTGCTGTGTTACTAAAATCAAAGCGCTAAGTTACTCTTACAAAACGTGAATATCTGAAGTGCAAACGTTGTTTTTTTTTTAATAACAAAAGGGACATAACCACAATAATACAAAAAGCTACTCTCATTTTCATTCAAAAACAACAAAAGTATTGTACTTACGATTCAGCTTCATCTAGTACCAAAACAGTAATGTCCCTTGATTCGCTTTTCTCGCTTCTAAATAAATTTACGTGACTACAAATATTTTCATCGTCTAACAGAACAGATCGTGTGCAAGACTTTAGCGGAATTTTTAACATTTCCCTATCAATGAATGGAAAACTTATAATCAATGAATGGAAAACTTATAAACCTAATTTTTAAAAATTTCCATTTACACGATGTGTGCGTGAGTAAGTAGCTACTATCATTGAGTGCTCACACAGGATACTGCAAATAACAAAAGTAGCTCATTATCGAGAGTGGGTAAGGCAAGAGCGTTAGCGCATCTAACTATCTGTTCAAGGAAATAAGTCCATTACTCGGTTTTACAGCTGTAATTGTAAAATCTGAATCCACAATTACGTGAAAGCTGTACAAATATAAGTTCATATTGTGCGCGTTCGCACTGATATAGTTGTATGTTTAGAAAATTAGCGGATAAATATGTCCTTATAAATATAAACAATAATTTATCTGAATCGTATGTTTTGAACTGATTTAAAAAAGAACTAGTGTAGTATACCGTTTACAAGTGTAGGTATATATGTATATATATATATATATATATATATATATATATATATATATATATATATATATATATATATATAATCCTAACCTGAATTAGACTACATATTAGGCCTATTTTTATTACGGCTAATACCCACAGTTCGACCACTTCCCGAATCATTTGGCCATTTTGCACATTGGCCTCTAGGACTGGCCAATGCCCGATGTGGTGTAAGTTAACAATGTATATGCTGATTTGACCGGCCACTTACCAAGTATCGAAAAATTAAAATTACTGACAAATTTTATTCGATGTGTTGAAGTAAGACTGACGGTTTAGCGACCCAGCCATCAGAGAATCTAGACCAGTTGCCTGTTAATAAAAAACGCGAAAAAATTATGCGCAGTGTGTGAACAAGAGTGAATTTTGGCCTATTCTTGTGGATCTTATGACAACGAAGTCCACGCAAGCAACAAAACAAACGAAGGCAATTGGCGACTTTTAATTCATATTCTATGAGCTTCTTAACCTGACTCTATTCTTAAAATATATGTTTTATGTTCCAGATTATTTAAACGGAAAAAACACGCACAGTTCCCTTTCTAACACTCCCCCCATCCCTTCCCCTTTTCACCATCATCGTAATTCTAGTGCAGTGATTATTTTTAACTTTTTTACGGAAATTACCGATCACAACTAATTTGGTGCGGAAGAATAACAAAAGCCGCGCCATGAGGAAAACTCAAACTAGTGAGAGGTAAAAAAAAATATATTGTTTTAATAAATACAATGTTTTAATATCGTTTTGTGATGTGTTTTAACCTATACAAGTCCATATTTTAAAAAAATCACAAAAGCGTTTTGTCAAGTTTTGTTGTAGAAATATCTATAAAGAATAAATTGTCTTTTATTTTATATAAAATAGTAATGAAATTCCACATTCTTGACATATTTCTACTAGTCTAGAGTCTAGATAGGACTAGACATAGATAAAATATTGACTAGACCTCTATAGCCCTAGACTCTATTTATACTGTATAACGTAGATTCGGTATATCTAGATGTAATATGTAGATATATTACTTTTAAAGTCGTCCATTTCAAACACACTTGACACTCGTGTGTTGACCCCATATTTTAACACACCTAGCATACCTATGATGAATCTTGAATAGATCTTCTAATTAAATGAAGGCCTAATTATTTACTAATTTCAGATCAGTTTTAAAGTAAATAAAAATACTAATTAAATAATTTCTCTAAAAAGTGTGTGGTATCAAGGTATATAAAATCAGCTTTCGGTAATTATTTGACAAGTCATTATTGAATAGCTACGACAAATCATTATGGAACTGCCCTACTCGCTTTGCCTATCAGCTGTAGGAAAAAAACTTGCAAGTTCTTATTTTTCTTTTTTTTTTTGGTTAATGATCTCGAAATTGCTTGAAGTTGTCGTTGTTTTGTGTTGTCTAGAATTTTTTTCTTATAACGTTAATGGAAAGATAAGTTAGGAAATAAAGGATCCTTCATAACAACTCTTGCCGATCTCCCCCACCCCCACAACGTTTGTCAATCGTCTTCATTAAAAGCTTGACAACTCCTTCCCCCCTCCCCTGAACCGTAATAGCGTTACACTAAGTTGGGTGACATCTGGTGTGGTAACCCATGGTGACACTCCCTTAGCCAAAGACTATATATATATATATATATATATATATATATATATATATATATATATATATATATATATATATATATATATATATATATATATATATATATATATATATATATATATGCCTATATGTATGGGTGGGTGTGGGGTGGGTGTGGGGTGTGTGGGTTGGGTGTGATATACCAAATCTACAGGCAGAATGCTTTCACACCCAATCCCCACTGATTTTAAATGTCTCTAATGGTGTATTTAACTTAAATGCGTTTATTTGATTGACTCGAATAAGCAGACTTTCTTATTAAAATTAACTCTATTTTGCTTAGGGGACGGCGTGGCCTAGCGGTAGAGTGCTAGACTGCTAACCCGAAAGTCTCGAGTTCAATGGGCACCTAACGTACATTAGGGAAACAAAGGCGGCTGGGCATAGTTCTGACCGCCTTATCCCCTTGTATGTCGAGGTCATTGAAACAGATGAACTTTACTTCATCTGCCCCATGTGTCTTGGGCACAAACTGGATCGGATGATATTATGTTAGTACACCTAAAACGCCCATGATGAATCTTAAATAGATGTACTAATTATGTAAGGAATTACGCAAAAAATTTAATTATTTTTTTCCCCACAAAGGAATCAAGCTGGCTCATGTGTTTGAGAGCTGTTTGCCCTGTGATCGCTACCGTTTGAGATCCTTCGTTGTCAGTCCCCCACAGAACAAAGCACAAAACGCCTTCAGACATGGGAGAGAAGCGGTGCTGAGGCGAACTGAACGCCACCTAGGGGAAACAATGCGTGAGGTCATCCCAGCATCAATGCGGACGGCCAAGGGTCCATTCGCTTTGGCTGTGAAATTTAGGAGATAATATGAAACAGAAATCAAGTCGAGTGTTCTACCGTAGGGTAGCAGATGTGAGAATATTTAATGTATTATACGATGACATCATAGATTGGAACTTAGAGTTGATCGATGATCTACGTAGATGTTAAACCCAGTTAAACCGGAGCCATTCAGTCTGACTTGTTCGCAACATCAAAAGAATTAAAAATTTATTGTCATCGAAAACAATCATATCACAGGGGAAAAAAAAGAAAATATACTGTTCAAAATACGCGTTTCAAATAGGTCTATTTGATATGTTTTAAAATATGAAACATTCGGGATTATAGACACAAAGTCTCACGTAGTTTGGGGAAAATGTGTTTAATTTAAAGTTGAAAAATTAAACATTTATAGTACACTACGAAAACAAATTTTTACGCGAAGATTAAACGTAAAATCTGAAATGTGAAAAAATCACCATGAATATTTGAAATTGATACGAAGATTTTTAAAACTAGTGTAGACTAAAATATGGAAATAACATCAATGCGGAGGAAGATGATTTTTGCGCCCTAAATATGAAGAAATTTGTTCGACAAGAGTTTAAGATAAGTCTGTATATCAGTACCTGATGATACAGTGGTGAAATAAAATAAGAATAACAATGAAGATGAGTACTGTTAAGCTGGTAAATACAATCCCCGCATAATGACTTAAAGATAATGTAGGAATATACAATCTTGAAATTATGAAGAACCCGCTGAAGGAGGAGAGAGTTCTTTGATATATGGTCGACGGGGCAAGGAGATTCAGAAAACTTCATCAGCACACCAGGGTCGTGAAGGCTGCACACGGAGATGTGCCGTGGCGTTTGACAAGATGTGCTTTGACGTGTGACAAGATGTGCTTTGACGTGTGACAAGATGTGCTTTGGTGTGTTATAAGCTGTGCTTTTGGCAATCGGGAAGGCGACACAGCGGCACACGAAGTTACGCCTTAGCATGTCGGGGTTACAAGAAAATCAAGGAGCTTCGCCAAAAAGGTATGCCTTTATTTTTTTTCTATTAAAAAAACGGATCTATAGGAAGACGCGGGTCAATACCAAAGGCGTAGCTAGGGGAGGATAGGTGGGGCGGCCGCCCCCGCGCCAACCAAAGGGGCGTTAAACGGGGGTAGTAAAAAAAAAACGCTCGTTCTATGCAGTATTACTGCATTGTAAGCAGTCGCAGTTAAGAAAATAGATTACTACTTATGGACTAATTTCGCCATCGTCCATAGCAAAGTCTAAAAATAGGGGCAAGATTTTAAAAAAAAACGAATTAATTATAGCTTTCAATTTTCGAACATTCATAATAAACTTCTCATATGGTTCAGTTTTTGCACGAGTGTTTATTTCAAGCTCGTTTACACAGAGGCGTAGCGAGGGGGGAGGGTGCGTATCGCACCGGGTGACACCATTTAGGGGGGTGACACCAAGGCAAAAAATAGTAAAATATATAGAGAAAAATTTGAGGGTGGTGCAAATCGAAAGTTTGAGAGGGGGTGGGGGGGTGCAAATCGAAAATTGAAAAAGTTTGTCCCCGGGTGACACCATTAAGTGCCGCATCGGGTGACACCCGACCTCGCTACGCCACTGCGTTTACAGAATACTTTAAATGATTTTAATTTTCCGAAACCTATTAGGTCAAAGTCACTGATCAAGTTTTGGAAAAAAAATTATTATTCAACAAGTTGCACACTACACAATATATTTAACACTGTTTTCTAGATAATAATAACTCGTTTATTTATTTGTTAGTAAAACGGCTTTTCAATTTCCAATACATTTCATCATGTCTCTAGCTATAACCTCTGTCTGTTGTAATGTTAGGTATCTTTCCTTCAAATCTTTCTCCATTGATCCAGAAGCGTAGAGACCCTTCCCGGCGCCCGGGGACAAACTTTCGATTTGCACTCCCCCTCGAACTTTTCATTTGCACAACCCCTCAAACTTTCGATTTGCACCCCCCTCGAACTTTTCATTTGCACCCCCCCCCCCCCTCAAACTTTCGATTTGCACCCCCCTCGAACTTTTCATTTGCACCCCCCCCCCCCTCAAACTTTCGATTTGCACCCCCCCCCTCAAACTTTCAATTTGGCGCCCCCCTAAGGTCGGTGCCCGGGGACATATGTCGTCCCCCCCCCCCCGCCCCCCCCCCCCCTCGCTACGCCTCTGCATTGATCTTCTCCCTATTTCTTTTGGCGGTCCTCGTTTTCTCTTGTCCCGTGGTATCCATTTGAAAGCAAACCTTAGTCTATGGACCTCCTCATACTCAGCACTTGACCAAACCATCTCCATCGTCTGTGTCTGATAGCTTCTGTTGACGTTTGAATAAACGAATTAGTGTTCTTTGTAACTCCTCTTTTAAGATGGTATTTCCAGTAACCAATCAATAATATAAGATTACTCAGATTAATCAGTAACCCCCTAAAATCGGCGCCCGAAGACATATGTCCCCCCGCCCCCCCCCCCCCCCCCCTCGCTACGCTACTGACTCAGATTCATTTTTCATCGTATTTAGCGCCAGCCTGGACGAGAGTAGCGACGAGATGAGCTACTACCCCGAGTCGTCCGCGTCCCTGAGTTCCAAATCCGACGGCTCCCTCAGCACCAAACACAACGTCACCGAGGTATCGACGGACGACACCACCTTCCAATCAACGTCCATGTCACTAACCGTCTCCACGGTGTTCACCATCAAACTCATCAACCAAATCAAAACACGCAGCGAAAACCCCAGCCCGACGCGGTGTGAACAACCGAACTCAAATCACTCATTGGTGTCGGTGAATTCATGCTTGTCTGATCACTCCACGACGAGAGTTTGCTCGGAGACGTGTATGACTTTAACTTCCATGAGAGGGATATCCCCAGTCTACGCAAAGACGTACAACACAGTCAACAAAAGCTACATCTCCAGCCGGTGTAGTCGTTCCGCTATCGAGACGTCTGAGTCTAGTTATGACAGGACGTACATGTGCCTCAACAGCCCTTTGTCGAGCTCCTCTTCGGAACACAGCAGCTTGACGATTAAGCCGTGTGTCAGCCTGACCAATGTCGATAGTTTTAGTTATGAGATCACTCAGCTCACCAGCAGGATGGAGAAAGAAGTTGCGAAGCATATGGTGAGCGCTAATGAAAGCGGTACCCTCAACCCTTACGTTTTTTTCCCGATTGTTGAAAAAAGGAAGCTGAAAGAGACAGTGGGTACCTGGGCTGAGGAGAGACACCAGGAGATGGTGGAGGATGTTGAGGAGAACGAGGAGGGCGAAGAGGAAGATAGCGAGAGTAGCTGGGAAAGTGGGAGTCAGGATCAGGAGAGTGACTCGTCTGAATCGGAGTCGCACGCCGACGCCGCAGAGTCGTTTGAAGAAGATGTACATGAGGCGGGGGCACTTGAAGTAGAGTCAGTTGAACCGGGGGCACTCGAAGTGGGGTCATGTGATCTGGGGCCACGTGATCTAGGGTCACATGAACTAAGGCCATGTAAACTAAGGTCATGTGAAATAAGGCCATGTGATCTGGGGCCACGTGATCTGGGGCCACGCGATCTAGGGTCACGTGAACTAAGGCCATGTGAACTAAGGTCATGTGAAATGGGGCCATGTGATCTGGGGCCATGTGAATTAAGGCCATGTGATCTGGGGCCACGTGATCTAGGGTCACGTGATCTAGGGCCACGTGAACTAAGGCCACGTGATCTGGGGCCACGTGATCTAGGGTCACATGAACTAAGGCCATGTGAACTAAGGCCGTGTGATCTGGGGCCACGTGATCTGAGGCCATGTGAACTAAGGCCATGTGAACTAAGGCCATGTGAAATGGGGCCATGTGATCTGGGGCCATGTGAAATGGGGCCACGTGAAGTAGGGTCGCGTGAACTGTTGCCACGCGAGCTAGTGCCACAGGAACTATTGTCACGGGGACTATTGTCACGGGAACTATTGTCACGGGAACTATTGTCACATGAGCTTTTGTCCCGTGAGCTGTTGTCAAATGAACTTTTGTCTCATGAACTAGTGTCACGTGATCTATTGTCACCTGAACTATCGCCACAGGAACCACACGAGCTAGAGCCACACGAGCTAGAGCCACACGAGCTAGAGCCACACGAGCTAGAGCCACACGAGCTAGAGCCACACGAGCTAGAGCCACACGAGCTAGAGCCACACGAGCTAGAGCCACACGAGCTAGAGCCACACGAGCTAGAGCCACACCAGCTCCAGCCACACGAGCAGGACTCGCCCCGCGGCCACGCCACCTACTACGAACTAGCGGCAGGGGATCTAAGCATGGGCGGGTTCGGCGACACCACCCTCATCTCGTACCACGAGCCAGAGGCGACACCGCAACCCCAACCCGATAAAAAAACCACCCCTCTCGACGAGTGCGTCCCTCCAACCCCACCAATCCCAGAGGTCACCCCGGAAGTGGTTGAAAAAAACTACGAAACTAACGCTCGGGCGAAATTATTGCATAACATTTTCAAAAATCACTCGGCGTCTCGTGCGAAACTGGCGGCAAAAGAAACAAAGGGCGAGCACTCTAAAAACGAGGTCAAAAATACCAGACCACGCCCCCGGACAACATATAATCAAGACGATGAAAATACGACTACATCTGAGCTCGAATCGAGGAAAAGGGAAATGAAGTCCAAAAAACTAGATGTTTTTAAACCACCCGAAGAAGAGGCTAAAAACGAATGTAGAACTCTTCGAGAAAATGCCAGGATAAAGGCACAAGACTACAGCCGGAAATTGAGACAAGCGTTAAGTAAAGCCCGTCCTGCCACCAAAACATGCACACGGACGAAGAAAAGCAACTGCGATTTTTCAAAGCAGGCAGATATTTCTTCTCGTAAACCCGCCGAGAAAGGGTACAAGACTAAAAATCAGACGAAGTCTAAAAAAAATGTGAATAGAAAATTGAATAGCTCGTGTGGAGGGGATGTTAGGAAAAAAAAGTCTAGAAAAAAAGTAAAAAGTCGAACCGAATGCTTACAGGCCAAGAGCGGGAAAAAAGGAGGTAACAACGGCCCCGTTAAAGGTCACGCACGAGCCTTAAGTAAAAAAAATATAAACCGAGGCGAAAAAGATCGTGTGGTTCCATATAAAAAAACGAGCGCCAAATCAAAGGTAAATAACAACTACTCAGTCCCGGTACGAAGGACAAGCTCTTATTTTAGTAAGAAAAAAACGCGCATCAAATTGCAAACAGAAGGGAAACGTCAACGAGAAGAAATTACCGAAAACCAAAACCAAACCGTTAACGAAACTTGTCGCGTCGAGGTCGAATTTGAGTACCTGTAGGTTCAAGCAGGGCGCTGACCGACGTTTTATATCGTGCGCGAAGCCCAAAAGGAACAACATCTCATGCGACCGAGCCTGCGTGTTTAATAGCTGCTCCAGCTTAAGTTCTTCGCGGATGGGTCGCCATTATCTTAGAAAACTCGAGAGCCCATCCTCATTCAAAAATCGCACGAGTCGATCCTCTCTTAGAAAACGAGAGAGTGACTCTTCTCTTAAAAAACATAAGAGTCAGTCTTCCCTCAGAAAACGTGAAAGTGACTCCTCTCTCACAAAACGCACGAGTCATTATTCTCTTACAAAACGTAAGAGTCGCTCCTCTCTTAGAGGTCTCGGCAGTGACTCCTCTGATGGAAAACGTAGGAGCCGGTCATCTCTCAGAAAACGTGAAAGTGACTCTTCTCTTAAAAAACGCGGAAGTCGTTCCTCTCTCAAAAGACACAGAAGCGACTCCAATGTTAGAAAACGATCGAGCGACACGCCTCAACGGGAAAGTAGGAGCCCTTCCTTCCCCTGTAAACGTAGGAGTAATTCCTCTGTCACAAAAGGTAGGAGTCACTCCTCCGTCACAAAACGTTGTAGTCACTCCTCCGTCAGAAAACGCAGCAGCGATGCCAGTCTGAAAAACTGCTTGAGCAACACACACCAGCGGAGACGCGAGCATTTCACGAAGACGAACAACAGTAGATGCATGGGGTTGCCGCCTCAAGTGCCCAGACCCAGCTGTGGACGACGAGCACCTTCAAGCAAGCTACCGAAAGTCATCGTCAAACCATTCGGGCGGCAGCGTGGTGCAGCCACGCCGCTACATCACCATCACCACAGAAACACACAGCCCAACCACAAACCCAAATCGTCATGGACGGAGAGTCAGAAACGAGACATAGCCAAGACGCCGGTGTGGCGAAAAACGCCTCGTTTCGTTGGCCTTAACCTTGATGCCACAAAAAAGAAAATCGCAGCTTCAAGCTTGCAAAACATTTCCGGCGGTAAATTTCCGGGGCGGAGCTTCGGTATCTCGTCGAAAAAAACAAGTCGGTACGCGCTTGGTAGGCAGAATTCAACCCAAGAAGCCAACGTAAAAACTAATAAACATTCAGAGAAAAAAACAAAAGAAAATTCTAAATCTATAAGCAGACGACGCCGTTCCACCTCGCCATCAAGTCCGAAGTACCACACACAGACATCATCCAACAAAGAAACAGCCGGTCCTTCCAGTTCCCCAAAACAACGGTGTAAGAAAAAAAACAACCGAAAACTCCGAAACGCAACTCACCGACTCGCGTGTCAACACCACGTTCGAGCTGGACGAACCCGACAGACAAGGGACGACACAGTTCTTTCAGATAATCGAGGAGTACACCATCCAAACCTCTCCCCCCACCGTGAGCACCAGCATGGGCATCGATGCCAGTCTAGGGTTCCAGACCACCACGGTCAGTACCAGAAAGGAGCTGAGGTTTTCCAACGACTCCCCGGGGGGATCAGAGAACAGCATCCTCCAAATTGGCGTCCACTCCATCACCGAGAGCGTGGAGTATTTGTGATTTGTTGTGGGTTTTTTTTTTCGTAAATAAACACCTACATGATCTTGTTTTTAATTTGAACTTGATTTGTTTACTTTATTTGACACTAGCCGTCCCGGCCAGGCCCTGCTCTGGCTTCTGTGAAAAACCTTTCTGTTAAAGACCATTACCTGTGTGTTTAGTAATCATCATAAACCCGGCATTGCCCACCCAAACCACAACCAACCAAAACAACAAAACGCAGACATAACGCTAACACAATTACAAATACAAACGAAAACAAAAACCTAACAACAAACCCAACCACAATCACAAACACCAATACAAACACAAAGAAAAAACAAACAAAAAAGCAAACGAAAACAAAAACTTAACAACGAACCCAACCACAACCACAAACACCAATACGAACACAAAGAAAAAAAAACGAAAAAGCAAACGAAAACAAACCACAAAGACAAACCCAAAGAAAAAAACACAAACGAAAAAGCAAACGAAAACAAACCAAATCCAAACGCAAAACCAACCACAAACACAAATACAAACACAAACCCAAAGAAAAAAACAAAAACGAAAAAAGAAAGAACAAAAACGAACCAAATCAAAACGCAACCACTAACGCGAACATAAACGCAAAGAGCTCACAGTCTAGCCCGGGCAGAATCGCCTGTTTCAGCTTAATAATCGACTATAGTACCCCAACTTATTCATAGTCTTTTGCACTCACTTAAACGAACGTAGGTACCAAACCAAACGAAAAATTATAATACTCCAAGCTTATTCGTAAAATACCTACAACATTTGCACTTGATCAATCCCCGCTAATTATGTAATTATTTTTTCCCAACACCAAAACAAAGTAATAAAAAGTAAATTATTTTCCACTAATGCAATGTTTTATAAAGGGAAGTAATTGTGTTTTCCTAATTTATCAAAGGGAATTAAGTGCTAAAGGACTAAATATAAATAATTTTCAGACATAATTAGAATTTTTGTTATTTTTTTTAAAATTGTGTTTAATGAACATGCCGAGATTTATTACTATAAGTTTGCAAAATGAACAGTATTTCCCAACACTTTCAATAGTAATTTTTTAACACATAAATTTAGAGTATGAGCACGATAATAGTCTAACACTTAAATCCATCGAAGTATGTCAACGACAAACTTATTACATACAGAATTGAGCTTTATATATTAGATAACTAGCTGAAAATACCCGTTTTAACCCGGGAGACTGTATACGTTTATTTTACATTCATATTGGCTATTATTTAACCAAAACTTTAACATCGCATGTTCATGTCTGCACTTGCTCTTCAAATACGTTACGCCAATTCTGCGATAAATGCAGTATTCTGACTCGTTGTTTTAAATCTCAGTAACAGAAAGAACTGAATAGTCAGCGGACCGTCAGCGTGATGCTTAATTGAGTCAGGTACTCATTTCAGCTGGGTGGACTCTGGGAGATGTTACAGAGTCTAGACTGGAATTCAAACTCAAGACCGATGGGTTGTCAGCTGTATGCTCTACTGCAAGACAATTCAGTCCTATTGGCCAGAATAATCAAAGTGATAAATAAGATAATCGTACTGCAACTGTAGCATATTTTGCAATTCAAACATCAAGGTAAAAATGCATGAAAATTACATTTTGATTTTTGTTTTTAATTATTGAATATGGTCGGCTGTGGAACCCGTTAACGGCATGTCCCCTCCATCAAAGCGGGGTATGGCGGCACGGTAGTTTCACCCTCATATACATACAATTAATGTATGAATAGAAGAAAAATCTTATAGAAAGGACGGATAATTTCAACGCACAGGGGCGTAGCGAGGGGGGGGGGTGCGGACCGCACCGGGTGACACCATTAAGGGGGGGGGGGGTGACACCAAGGCACAAAATAGCAAAATATATAGAGAAAAACTTGAGGCGGGGGGGGGGGGTGCAAATTGAAAGTTTGAGGGGGGGGGGTGGAAATCGAAAGTTTGAGGGGGGGGGTCGCAAATCGAAAATTTGAAAGTTTGTCCTCGGGAAGGGTCGCTAAGCCTCTGGGGGGTGACACCATTAAGTGCCGCACCGGGTAACACCCGGCCTCGCTACGCCACTGTCTAACACTACGGGGGGATGGCAACTCAGGAAATAGACATGTTTTTAAATCAACGCATTGATATATTTTGTTTCTATGACGTGTATCGTTAAAGTAAGCGATTCTACCATGAGTCACTGTTGTAAATGTATGTGACGTTAATCTTCAAATAGATGTTGCTGTTTAAAAGGATTCACAATAGTTGAATTTCTAGATCTACCGAATTGTGAAAAGAATGACAGTAAGGTTTGTCTACAAATAACGTCACGCTCCATATCGGAAAGTAGGGGGGGGGGTGGAGTTCAAAGTTTTTCAACAACGGAGATGAGGGGATAAGGGTAGGGTGTGATCTTCAAGTGTAATGGCACAATTTTTTTCATTTTAAAAGTAATGTTTTTAACTAAATCGTTTTGCATAACATCAATTGTGTATTTTGGAAGAAATCACTGTTTAAAAAAAATAATAAACCGGGAGTGATCTCCCCAAAACTTTCTCGAAAATTCTTATATAACAATACAGGAAAAAACCAAGTCGGGAGAAAGACAATATTTTAAATCCATTTTAGGTGACTTAAACTTTTAAAATAGAATAGTATCTCGTAGAAAAAAAAGAATGGCGCACCAATTGACGCCAAACAATCTATGTATATTTAGTGCGGAATATAATTTAGTACTTAATAAATTCACATGCGTTTTTTTTAGAAATCGGAAATAGCGTAAATTACTACTTCCGGTCAACGGAAACTACTCAAAATTTGATTTGACAGATGGCAGAGAATTACAACTCTTATTTACATTTGAAATTTCATTTATCTATCTAAATAGTACTCAAGTTATAGGCTTTTGAAAAATTGAAATTAGAAAAATGTCCACTTCCGGTTATTGGAAATCGCTCAAAAGTTTAAACAGATCTACAAATTTGATATGATACTTAAATATGAAATTTCATCAACCTAGCTGTAACGGTACTCAAGTTATCGTGTTTAAACACACACACACACACACACACAGAGACATTCGGAAAAGATTGCAAAACTACGTTTTCCGACTCAGGTAGGTGTAAAACGCCGAGATTTGTAAAAGGTCGATTATTTATTTTTTTTGCACGATCACAATACTTTCTCTATACTTCGTAAAAATTAAAATAATTTTTTGCGCACATAAACGGAGATTCCCCATAAAGACTAAACTTCTACTTACACGTCATTAAACATAGCACCGCATCGTAATTAAACATAGCACCTTATCAGTAGTCGTAAGCCATCTTCCATGAAAATAAAGTAAAGTATAACAAGAAATAAAAAAACAAACATCATGGAAGGTAAAAAAAAACATTGTGTGTTTAATATAATAGACATTCAAAGATTTGAAATCACTGGCTGTCAATGCACAGGAAAAAAAAAGAGAAACATGTTGAAAAAAACCAAAGACGATAGTCCCACTCCTTCAGGTAGATCTAGATCTAGATATCTAGATCTACTACTGTGTACAGTTAGATCAGTTTTCTTTCATTCTAGTGTTTTGTTCCAAGTTCGTATTGATCTATATGTAGGCCCTAGGGGTATTTTCTAATTTAACTTAAAAATTGAAGGAAGTTGGCTTCCCTTTTTTCACGTTCCCGGGGAAAAAAAGCCTACTAGCCAGTATTGTATTGTCCCGACAACATTTGATTTAAGCTTTTCATGTACCAATTGGCTCATGCGTCCCTCCCCGGCGAAAACTCAATATATTAAATATATGTATATGTAGTATATACATATGTATATATAGACACACACATACACATATATATATATACATGTATATAATATATATATATACATGTATATGTATATATATATATATATATATATATATATATATATATATATATATATATATATATATATATATATATATGCCTAAGTCAGGAAAAGTCTTTATAATTATAGAGTATGATTTTCGGTTTCTAAAATATTATTGCCGGCGCTAAATTATTTAAACCACTTTTTATGTTCTATTTTTGGAACAATCTCCTGGTATATAATCGTACAATACGTTTTAAAACAACTGGATTATTTTCTACGTGTTAAATGAGTTATCTAATAACCAATCCAGTGTAAATGCCTCCGATTTTTGTCGGCAAAAAACTCGCTCCCCCCCCCCCCCCCCTTCTTTCCCAACTTGGAAAACGTTTTTAGAAGCGGTTTGTTTCGGGCACTGTTTCTTAAGGGTATTTATTTTAAAGTTACACAATCAAGGTTGAAAACAGTTTAATCCGTTTGTTAAGGCTTGTAGTCGTTACATTTCTTAACTTTGACTGTTTATAATGCAAAATCGATTTTTTAAAATGTTATTTTAATTTTTTTTCCGCCTCTGTTGACGCCCTTTGGGTCGGTGTCCGGGGCACCCTTTTTCCCCCATCCCCCCCCCCCCCCCAATTACGCCATCCATCAATGGGAACTATGACTAAAACTGCGACCATTACCTTTATTCACCCCCTCCCCTGCATACGATACTAGAAAAGCAAGAAATATTTTCCTTCCAGCGTGCATGCTGTTTATTGTTCTATTTTAAACAGCCAAAACTCAAAGTGAAGCTCCCGGCGCAAAGGAAAATCCCCTGGGCGTGGTGTGGTCATATTCCAGCTTCCACAGAACACCAAGTGAGGAAACTCTACAGCTTAAAAAAACAAAAAAGAAAGGTACCCTTAAATTTATACCACCGTTTGGTAATAAAATACATACATTTACAAAAATGTACGTGCTATTGTAAAAGTTTTGTTTTATTTATTTTTTAAAAACAATACTAGTTGTGCTGTTTAAACTATGAAAAAAATTAAACTATTTTATTTGCGCGCATAACCGGAGATTCTCAATAAAGACTGTCCATCCACAGAAAAACAAGAGGAGCACGTTAGAAAACCCAAAGACGATACTCCCGCTCCAACAGGTACTACTGTGTAAAGTGAGATCAGTTTTCTTTTATTCTAGTGTTTTTTTCCAAGTTTGTATAGATCTATATGTGCGCCCTATGCAGTGGCGTGCAGGCCTATTTTGATGCCGGGCCAACCCAAGGGAAGAACTCTTGAAAACACTGCATACATATAAACCCAAAGGAATGACTGGCTCAACAAATGTAATAATGGGTAGAATTTCTGGAAGGGGAGACAGTTTGTGGACATGCCGGAAGTGTGGGGGGGGGGGGGGTGGGAGGGGGCTATTTTTTATGTCCTGCAAAAGAGTTTTTACATTGCCCTAGCGAACCGGGCTGCGGTCACAGAGGTAAGGTATTCTTTGTTAAATTAAATTGGGAAAAAACTAAACGTCAAAGTTCACCATTGTTGATTGTTACAACTGAGGCCACGGTTGATGTAAGTTATCACCCGCCTGGACTGCGATAGGAAGACATTAGTGTCACACCTCGCTGTGTGCAGGGAAGAGTTCTACGGGTCACCTGGTACTTGTTTGACCTGAAATAGCTGGCGATGGGAGGACTTGGGTGAGCCACCCCACCTCACCCCATCCACCTTAAACTTGGTATGTAAATTTGGGAAAACACGTCATGTGATACTTTACTGTATTCGAACAAAGTAGAAGTGTTCTTTTTTTTGGATGCCTGTACTAGTTACGGACCTTAGAATTGCTAGTCTTTTAAATATATGTATATGTAACTAGGTGTAGTTACCAGAGACGATAACAACGCAATAGTGCAGGTGTTAGGCTGATAACGATCACAAAGCCGCTGCGCAGTTCACAGGCTGACGTAACAGTGCAGATGGTTTATTAATCGGACTGTATGACAGAAGCTGCGTAATTAACATTCTGATGCAACGATTAGAATACGAGTACGAATCCGATTACGAATCCGATTACGAATACGAAGGGATATATAGGAAGGCGACAGCGGAGAACGAGATCAGTAGGAGGATCAGTAACAGGATCAGTATCAGTGACAGTATCAAGTTGGTTACTGAACGTTGTAGACGTATTGTGTTAATAGGGACGATAGACATGTGCATTCAGTTATGTGAAGACTAGTGAGGACTGTTGGGGGTCAGTTGATTCATTATATTATTGTGAAGCATCTCTTTTTGATTCATGTAATAAAAGGATCAATGGTAAACCTGCATCTTCTAGTATCTATATTGTGGTCGATGTTGTGTAGAATGAGTAAATACACTCGTTAACATTTGGCACTACAAGCAAATAGACTCGGTAACATTTGGCGTTGTCGAGCAGAAGATTCAAATAGACTCGGTTACATATATATAGTATATATCATACTCTGTAATTATTAAGACTTTTCCTGACTTTGGCATGTATATATATATATATATATATATATATATATATATATATATATATATATATATATATATTTATATATATATTTATATATATATATATATATGCCAAAGTCAGGAAAAGTCTTTATAATTACAGAATATGATTTTCGGTCCCTAAAATTTTATTGCCGGCGCTAATTTGTTTAGGCCACTTTTTATGTTCTATATTTGGAACAATCTCCTGGTATATAATCGTACAATATGTTTTAAAACAACTGGATTATTTTCTACGTGTTAAATGAGTTATCTAAAAACTAATCCAGTGTAAATGCCTCCGATTTTTGTCGGCAAAAAACTCGCTCCCCCCCCCTTCTTTCCCAACTTGGAAAACGTTTTTAGAAGCGGTTTGTTTCGGGAACTGTTTCTTAAGGGTATTTATTTTAAAGCTACACAATCAAGGTTGAAAACAGTTTAATCCGTATGTAATGGCTTGTAGCCCTTACATTTCTTAATTTTGACTGTTTATAATGCAAAATCGAAGTTTAAAATGTTCTTTTAAATTTTTTCTACATCCTTTGGCGCCCTTTTAATCGGTGTCCGGGGCACCCTCCCCCCCCCCCAGCTACGCCATCCATCAATAGGAACTGTCTAAAACGGCGACCACTCCCTTTATCCACCCCCTCCCCTGCATACGATACTAGAAAAGCAAGAAATATTTTCCTTCCAGCGTGCATGCTGTTTATTGTTCTATTTTAAACAGCCAAAACTCAAAGTGAAGCTCCCGGCGCAAAGGAAAATCCCCTGGGCGTGGTGTGGTCATACTCCAGCTTCCACAGAACACCAAGTGAGGAAACTCTACAGCTTAAAAAAACAAAAAAGAAAGGTACCCTTAAATTTATACCACCGTTTGGTAATAAAATACACACATTTACAAAAATGTACGTGCTATTGTAAAAGTTTTGTTTTATTTATTTTTTTAAAACAATACTAGTTGTGCTGTTTAAACTATGAAAAAAATTAAACTATTTTATTTGCGCGCATAACCGGAGATTCTCAATAAAGACTGTCCATCCACAGAAAAACAAGAGGAGCACGTTAGAAAACCCAAAGACGATACTCCCGCTCCAACAGGTACTACTGTGTAAAGTGAGATCAGTTTTCTTTTATTCTAGTGTTTTTTTCCCAAGTTTGTATAGATCTATATGTGCGCCCTATGCAGTGGCGTGCAGGCCTATTTTGATGCCGGGCCAACCCAAGGGAAGAACTCTTGAAAACACTGCATACATATAAACCCAAAGGAATGACTGGCTCAACAAATGTAATAATGGGTAGAATTTCTGGAAGGGGAGACAGTTTGTGGACATGCCGGAAGTGTGGGGGGGGGTGGGAGGGGGCTATTTTTTATGCCCTACAAAAGAGTTTTTACATTGCCCTAGCGAACCGGGCTGCGGTCACAGAGGTAAGGTATTCTTTGTTAAATTAAATTGGGGAAAAACTAAACGTCAAAGTTCACCATTGTTGATTGTTACAACTGAGGCCACGGTTGATGTAAGTTATCACCCGCCTGGACTGCGATAGGAAGACATTAGTGTTACACCTCGCTGTGTGCAGGGAAGAGTTCTACGGGTCACCTGGTACTTGTTTGACCTGAAATAGCTGGCGATGGGAGGACTTGGGTGAGCCACCCCACCTCACCCCATCCACCTTAAACTTGGTATGTAAATTTGGGAAAACACGTCATGTGATACTTTACTGTATTCGAACAAAGTAGAAGTGTTCTTTTTTTTGGATGCCTGTACTAGTTACGGACCTTAGAATTGCTAGTCTTTTAAATATATGTATATATAGTATATATCATACTCTGTAATTATTAAGACTTTTCCTGACTTTGGCATGTATATATATATATATATATATATATATATATATATATATATATATATATATATATATATATATATATATATATATATATGCCAAAGTCAGGAAAAGTCTTTATAATTACAGAATATGATTTTCGGTCCCTAAAATTTTATTGCCGGCGCTAATTTGTTTAGGCCACTTTTTATGTTCTATATTTGGAACAATCTCCTGGTATATAATCGTACAATATGTTTTAAAACAACTGGATTATTTTCTACGTGTTAAATGAGTTATCTAAAAACTAATCCAGTGTAAATGCCTCCGATTTTTGTCGGCAAAAAACTCGCTCCCCCCCCCCCCCTTCTTTCCCAACTTGGAAAACGTTTTTAGAAGCGGTTTGTTTCGGGAACTGTTTCTTAAGGGTATTTATTTTAAAGCTACACAATCAAGGTTGAAAACAGTTTAATCCGTATGTAATGGCTTGTAGCCCTTACATTTCTTAATTTTGACTGTTTATAATGCAAAATCGAAGTTTAAAATGTTCTTTTAAATTTTTTCTACATCCTTTGGCGCCCTTTTAATCGGTGTCCGGGGCACCCTCCCCCCCCCCCCCCCCCCCAGCTACGCCATCCATCAATTGGAACTGTCTAAAACGGCGACCACTCCCTTTATCCACCCCCTCCCCTGCATACGATACTAGAAAAGCAAGAAATATTTTCCTTCCAGCGTGCATGCTGTTTATTGTTCTATTTTAAACAGCCAAAACTCAAAGTGAAGCTCCCGGCGCAAAGGAAAATCCCCTGGGCGTGGTGTGGTCATATTCCAGCTTCCACAGAACACCAAGTGAGGAAACTCTACAGCTTAAAAAAACAAAAAAGAAAGGTACCCTTAAATTTATACCACCGTTTGGTAATAAAATACACACAATTACAAAAATGTACGTGCTATTGTAAAAGTTTTGTTTTATTTATTTTTTAAAACAATACTAGTTGTGCTGTTTAAACTATGAAAAAAATTAAACTATTTTATTTGCGCGCATAACCGGAGATTCTCAATAAAGACTGTCCATCCACAGAAAAACAAGAGGAGCACGTTAGAAAACCCAAAGACGATACTCCCGCTCCAACAGGTACTACTGTGTAAAGTGAGATCAGTTTTCTTTTATTCTAGTGTTTTTTTCCAAGTTTGTATAGATCTATATGTGCGCCCTATGCAGTGGCGTGCAGGCCTATTTTGATGCCGGGCCAACCCAAGGGAAGAACTCTTGAAAACACTGCATACATATAAACCCAAAGGAATGACTGGCTCAACAAATGTAATAATGGGTAGAATTTCTGGAAGGGGAGACAGTTTGTGGACATGCCGGAAGTGTGGGGGGGGGGGGGGGGGGTGGGAGGGGGCTATTTTTTATGTCCTGCAAAAGAGTTTTTACATTGCCCTAGCGAACCGGGCTGCGGTCACAGAGGTAAGGTATTCTTTGTTAAATTAAATTGGGGAAAAACTAAACGTCAAAGTTCACCATTGTTGATTGTTACAACTGAGGCCACGGTTGATGTAAGTTATCACCCGCCTGGACTGCGATAGGAAGACATTAGTGTCACACCTCGCTGTGTGCAGGGAAGAGTTCTACGGGTCACCTGGTACTTGTTTGACCTGAAATAGCTGGCGATGGGAGGACTTGGGTGAGCTACCCCACCTCACCCCATCCACCTTAAACTTGGTATGTAAATTTGGGAAAACACGTCATGTGATACTTTACTGTATTCGAACAAAGTAGAAGTGTTCTTTTTTTTTGGATGCCTGTACTAGTTACGGACCTTAGAATTGCCAGTCTTTTAAATATATGTATATATAGTATATATCATACTCTGTAATTATTAAGACTTTTCCTGACTTTGGCATGTATATATATATATATATATATATATATATATATATATATATATATATATATATATATATATATATATATATATATTTATATATATATTTATATATATATATATATATGCCAAAGTCAGGAAAAGTCTTTATAATTACAGAATATGATTTTCGGTCCCTAAAATTTTATTGCCGGCGCTAATTTGTTTAGGCCACTTTTTATGTTCTATATTTGGAACAATCTCCTGGTATATAATCGTACAATATGTTTTAAAACAACTGGATTATTTTCTACGTGTTAAATGAGTTATCTAAAAACTAATCCAGTGTAAATGCCTCCGATTTTTGTCGGCAAAAAACTCGCTCCCCCCCCCCCCCCCTTCTTTCCCAACTTGGAAAACGTTTTTAGAAGCGGTTTGTTTCGGGAACTGTTTCTTAAGGGTATTTATTTTAAAGCTACACAATCAAGGTTGAAAACAGTTTAATCCGTATGTAATGGCTTGTAGCCCTTACATTTCTTAATTTTGACTGTTTATAATGCAAAATCGAAGTTTAAAATGTTCTTTTAAATTTTTTCTACATCCTTTGGCGCCCTTTTAATCGGTGTCCGGGGCACCCTCCCCCCCCCCCCCCCAGCTACGCCATCCATCAATTGGAACTGTCTAAAACGGCGACCACTCCCTTTATCCACCCCCTCCCCTGCATACGATACTAGAAAAGCAAGAAATATTTTCCTTCCAGCGTGCATGCTGTTTATTGTTCTATTTTAAACAGCCAAAACTCAAAGTGAAGCTCCCGGCGCATGGGAAAATCCCCTGGGCGTGGTGTGGTCATACTCCAGCTTCCACAGAACACCAAGTGAGGAAACTCTACAGCTTAAAAAAACAAAAAAGAAAGGTACCCTTAAATTTATACCACCGTTTGGTAATAAAATACACACATTTACAAAAATGTACGTGCTATTGTAAAAGTTTTGTTTTATTTATTTTTTAAAACAATACTAGTTGTGCTGTTTAAACTATGAAAAAAATTAAACTATTTTATTTGCGCGCATAACCGGAGATTCTCAATAAAGACTGTCCATCCACAGAAAAACAAGAGGAGCACGTTAGAAAACCCAAAGACGATACTCCCGCTCCAACAGGTACTACTGTGTAAAGTGAGATCAGTTTTCTTTTATTCTAGTGTTTTTTTTCCAAGTTTGTATAGATCTATATGTGCGCCCTATGCAGTGGCGTGCAGGCCTATTTTGATGCCGGGCCAACCCAAGGGAAGAACTCTTAAAAACACTGCATACATATAAACCCAAAGGAATGACTGGCTCAACAAATGTAATAATGGGTAGAATTTCTGGATGGGGAGACAGTTTGTGGACATGCCGGAAGTGTGTGGGGGGGGGGGGGTGGTAGGGGGCTATTTTTTATGCCCTACAAAAGAGTTTTTACATTGCCCTAGCGAACCGGGCTGCGGTCACAGAGGTAAGGTATTCTTTGTTAAATTAAATTGGGAAAAAACTAAACGTCAAAGTTCACCATTGTTGATTGTTACAACTGAGGCCACGGTTGATGTAAGTTATCACCCGCCTGGACTGCGATAGGAAGACATTAGTGTTACACCTCGCTGTGTGCAGGGAAGAGTTCTACGGTTCACCTGGTACTTGTTTGACCTGAAATGCTGGCGATGGGAGGACTTGGGTGAGCCACCCCACCTCACCCCATCCACCTTAAACTTGGTATGTAAATTTGGGAAAACACGTCATGTGATACTTTACTGTATTCGAACAAAGTAGAAGTGTTCTTTTTTTTGGATGCCTGTACTAGTTACGGACCTTAGAATTGCTAGTCTTTTAAATATATGTATATATAGTATATATCATACTCTGTAATTATTAAGACTTTTCCTGACTTTGGCATGTATATATATATATATATATATATTATATATATATATATATATATATATATATATATATATATATATATATATATATATATATATATATATATATGCCAAAGTCAGGAAAAGTCTTTATAATTACAGAATATGATTTTCGGTCCCTAAAATTTTATTGCCGGCGCTAATTTGTTTAGGCCACTTTTTATGTTCTATATTTGGAACAATCTCCTGGTATATAATCGTACAATATGTTTTAAAACAACTGGATTATTTTCTACGTGTTAAATGAGTTATCTAAAAACTAATCCAGTGTAAATGCCTCCGATTTTTGTCGGCAAAAAACTCGCTTCCCCCCCCCCCCCCCCCCTTCTTTCCCAACTTGGAAAACGTTTTTAGAAGCGGTTTGTTTCGGGAACTGTTTCTTAAGGGTATTTATTTTAAAGCTACACAATCAAGGTTGAAAACAGTTTAATCCGTATGTAATGGCTTGTAGCCCTTACATTTCTTAATTTTGACTGTTTATAATGCAAAATCGAAGTTTAAAATGTTCTTTTAAATTTTTTCTACATCCTTTGGCGCCCTTTTAATCGGTGTCCGGGGCACCCTCCCCCCCCCCCCCCCCAGCTACGCCATCCATCAATTGGAACTGTCTAAAACGGCGACCACTCCCTTTATCCACCCCCTCCCCTGCATACGATACTAGAAAAGCAAGAAATATTTTCCTTCCAGCGTGCATGCTGTTTATTGTTCTATTTTAAACAGCCAAAACTCAAAGTGAAGCTCCCGGCGCATGGGAAAATCCCCTGGGCGTGGTGTGGTCATACTCCAGCTTCCACAGAACACCAAGTGAGGAAACTCTACAGCTTAAAAAAACAAAAAAGAAAGGTACCCTTAAATTAATACCACCGTTTGGCAGTGGCGTAGCGAGGTCGGGTGTCACCCGGTGCGGCACTTAATGGTGTCACCCCCCAGAGGCGTAGCGACTCTTCCCGAGGACAAACTTGCAATTTTCGATTTGCACTGCCCCCCCCCCCCCTCAAACTTTCCATTTGCACCCCCCCTCGAACTTTCGATTTGCACCCCCCTCAAACTTTCGATTTGCCCCCCCCCCCCTCAAATTTTTCTCTATATATTTTACTATTTTTTGCCTTGGTGTCACCCCCCTAAATGGTGTCACCCGGTGCGGTCCGCACCCCCCGCTACGCATCTGCCGTTTGGTATTAAAATACATACATTTACAAAATAATTATATTATTCTAAAAAGTGTGGAGTGTGCGACTGATTGACCGAAAATCTTAAGTTTGGATCTCTGGCTTGCACCCGTTTGACATCCCTGAGTCCACTCAGCTCCGTTGGGTACCTAACGTGAAAGAAAGAGCAGGTGTCAAAATAGTACTGACCACACTATCCATTTATAAATCTGGGGCACAAACATAGGTGAACTCTACACCCTCTACCCTACTGTTGAAAAGGGTACTTCTAAAACATAAAGTTTCTCAAGAAAACCTTTTTCCTAGGGTAAATTTTGCAACGTTTAGTTGGTGCCCGCCCCTCCCCCCCCCCCCCCTACCCCACCACCTGGTTATAGCTTTAAACGTTTTACAGATACATCCACCCTCGGAGGCGTAACGACCCTTCCCGGCAACCGGGGACAAACTTTTCGATTTGCACCCCTCCCCCCCCCCTCAAGATTTCGATTTGCACCCCCCCCCCTCAAACTTTCGATTTGCACCCCCTCAAGATTTCGATTTGCACCCCCCCCCCCCTCAAACTTCCGATTTGCACCCCCCTCCCTCAAACTTTCAAATTGCACCCCCCTCAACCTTTCAATTTTTTTTTCCAACCCATTTTGGCGCCCCCTAAGGTCGGCGCCCGGGGACATAATCTTAATCCAACCTGATTGAATGCCAAGCATAACCCAGTCATGTTTAGCACCTAACCGAGTCCCATGCGAAACGGAGACCGTTACTTGACTGGAAATATTGTAACGACAACATTTGATTTGTAGACGAAATAAGAGTTTCTTCCTGGCATCTCTTCGCAGTGGCGTAGGCAGGGGGGGGGGGTTAGGGTGTCATAACCCCCCTCCCCCATAGACCCCTCGATATATATATATATATATATATATATATATATATATATATATATATATATATATATATATATAAAGTATGAGGGGGGGTGCAAATCGAAAGTTTGAGGGAGGGGGTGCTAATCGAAAGTTTGTCCCCGGGTAAAAATTGGAACCCCCCCCCCCCCCCCCACCCCCATTGAGACGATCCTGGCTACGCCACTGTCTCTGCGTCTACCGCCCACCCCACGAACAAAATGGAATTTATATAGAAAATAATATATACTAGTTTGACATAATAGTTTTAATAAGATTTTTTTATAATATATACTTAAGTGTCCGCCCCCCCCCCCACCCCCCTGGCAGAAACACGGTACGAAATCTTGTCCCTGAAACGGCCTTGTCGGATTGTAGAGCTCATAACGGCTAACTCAAAATCGAAAATTTGAAAGTTTGTCCCCGGGAAGGGTCACTACGCCTCTGGGGGGTGACACCGTTAAGTGCCGCACCGGGTGACACCCGACCTCGCTACGCCACTGCCTTCAATTTTGCTCAAACATATTATTATTGTTCAACAAATTTCAGACTAGGCAATTGATTTTACTAATTTTTTTTCCTGATAAGTTATGTATCTATTTATTCAGTGCTTGTTTTTTTTTTGTTTTTTTTTTTTGTAAAAAAAAAAAAAGTAGGTACCGGCACTCAGGGATGGATTGCCTAACTTTTAACTACCAGTTCGTACCTCGATGCAAGCTAAATCACAACTGCAAAGATACTAAACATCTAAAACAATTTTATTTCATAATTATATGAAAATATTTTTAATGCGGTTTTTATTTTATTTTTCTTCAGAAAAAAATGACATTGGGTCATATTGAGAGCTGTTTTTCCTGAGATTTTTATGTGAAGATTAAACGTAATGAATACGAAGATTATTAAAACTAGTGTAGACTACAATATGTAAACAACATCAATGCGAAGTAAGTTGATTCCTAGGGTTCCAGACGACCACGGTCAGTACCAGAAAGGAGCTGAAGTTCTCCAACGACTCCCCGGGGGGATCAGAGAACAGCATCCTCCAGATTGGCGTCCACTCCATCACCGAGAGCGTGGAGTATTTGTGATTTGTTGTGTTTTTTTTCGTAAATAAACATCTAAATGATCTTGTTTTTAATTTTCCTAAGAACTTGATTTGTTTACTTTTTTTTGACATACTGGCTGAGAATACCAGTTTTCACCCGGGAGACTGGAAAATGGTTTTGCCATCGTTTATCTATTATCACTGTTTTATAACCAAAACTGTAATCAAGCTGGTTCACAACACGGCTTAGTTTCATGTTTCGGTGTCCTTTATACTTAAATTTATACATCTACAATATCAAGCACTTGATGAATTGCTATCATCTTGTAATAATACTAAGAGATATTCTTACCATGAAGCCGTGGTGGATTCAGAAGAAAAGTTTAGTTGAAAGTTGGTGGATTCAGAAGAAAAGTTAAGTTGAAAGTTGGTGGATTTATAAGAAAAGTTTAGTTGAAAGTTGGTGGATTCAGAAGAAAAGTTAAGTTGAAAGTTGGTGGATTTATAAGAAAAGTTTAGTTGAAAGTTGGTGGATTCAGAAGAAAAGTTAAGTTGAAAGTTGGTGGATTCAGAAGAAAAGTTTAGTTGAAAGTTTTTGCATTTAGAACAAACATTTAGTTGAGAGTAGGTGGATTCAGAATCAAAGTTTAGTTGAGAGTTTTTGCATTTAGAACAAACATTTAGTTGAGAGTAGGTGGATTCAGAATCAAAGTTTATTTGAGAGTTTTTGGATATAGAAGAAAATTTTAGTTGAGAGTTTTTGGATTTAGAACAAACATTTAGTTGAGAGTTGGTATTCAGAAGAAAAGTTTAGTTGAGAGTGAACAAACACAGGTGTAGTACACTAAGTTTTATTCCACCCCATCATGTGAAGACAAAGTTATAGAGCAGTTAATAGATGAAAAATTGTATCTCAAATTGCTAGTAATGGTAGTAGAAAATAATATTGCAGCTATTGACAGTGTAGGTTACTCATGAGATATACAATTTAATCAAAGCCAGTCTTGGCTTAAGAGTTATTTTTAAAAATAAAAAATTAATTTATAACATGTTAATTACAAAAGTATACATTTGTCATTTTGAAAAATAAAGTTTATTGACAAATATTTCTTATTATGTAAAAAAAAATTTAATTAAAAAAAAACTTTTCACAGCACAGAAGTAAATGAATTTTTTTTTTTAGGAAGCCACATTTAATCTTTCAACACAATCTCTCATCATTGTTTAAAAAAAACATAGTAATTGCATCAGTAATTGATTCATAGAAAAGATGAATAGTTTTTTTTTATTAATATAAACAACCGCCCAATAAAACTGAATCCCATTGTGAATAAAATATAGAATTAATTCTATGATAAATTATTTCTAGTTGTTGACCCCCCCCCCCCCCTCACCCCCTCCTAAAAAAAAACAACCTCATAGTAATTTAAGTCTTTCGAGCAAAACAGTGAAATGAAAAAAATTATTGGTGTGCTTTGTTGATGAACTTGATGATGAACAAGGCAAGATATGGTAAGTAAAAACAGACACATACAGACTTTAAGAAAAAGAAACTTTCCATACACTCTCTATGTAATAGAATACATCAGTAAGAAATAAAAAAAAATTTAAACTGTATTCTAAAAAAAGAACCATAACTATGTTATAACTGGTGTAAGAGTTGTCTACAACATTTAATGTGAATTTAAGTTGTTTTTTTTTTATCTGCTTTATAATAGTTGCAAAGAAATTAATTTTAAAAATGTAAGAAAAAAATTCAAAAATACTATTTTATACAAGAGGATGTACTTATTTGAAAAAAAAAAATTTTTTTTGACTAATTGAAAAATGCAAGTGCTGAATATTTTAACACATCTAGTGGGTGAAGTAACACAAACTGTACTGGCTAATTATTCTTTGGTTAATTGTTAATTAGTTCAGTAGAAAAAAAAAACAAAATATTTCTTGACTTCATAATGTGTGGTCAAATAACAAAAAATAAGAAGAGTATGGCTTTACCCTGAAGTTCGTTTGTAGCAAAAAACAACAAAATCATAACTCAAGTACTCAAGAAAAAAAAATACATTCACTGAATAAGGGTAAGTGTAGTTTAAAAAAATCTTATTAAAACTATTATGTCAAACTAGTTCATTAGTAACAGCTAAAATCAGAACAGTCAAACAAAGCATTATGTACATTATATAAACATAGTGAGAATCTTAACCATTTTAGGAATAGTGTAAATGTTAATTACAGGCCTTTTCTGACAAGTAAAAAAAATGGGTCTTTATAGAAAAGTTTCAATAGTTTAAGTAAAAAAGTAACATTTATATATAAGTAGTTTTTTTTTTTAATTTAGTAAAGGGGATATCCAAGTGGGTGTCATAAATCCTGCTTACAAGATTTTTCAGAAATTTTAAAAAAAATTGTATTTAAATGAGCTAATTGCCTTTTTGGTGATTGATTAGTCCCTTAAGTTATAGTAAAACCTGTTAACTTAATATTTTCGAATTATATCTAAAATGACAAAACCCATGTTTAAAATGGTATAACTGTATTTATGTTCTTTCTTGTAAATTACATTCTTACTCCTTATTGATACAAATTTGATTAGAATTTATTTTCACTGCAAAGGGAAACAATTTTATGACAACAGAAGGGACACAACTACTAAATCAGCAAAAGGTCTCGTGTGAAACTAAGATGATATAAATAGAAAACAATAAATCACAACCGTGAACGCTGAGTTTACGACACAAGCATTTAGTGTAGGCAAGGTTTTTTCGGTGTCAAATCTGCCAGAGAGAATGGTGAGAGAAGAAGGAGAGAAAAATAGTTGATTTATTTCTTAACACCAGAGAAAAAGCAAGCAGTACATTCCCTTTATTGACAGCATAAACACACAGTTCATGGGAAAATTGCCATTTCATTGTATAATCAATTAAATACTGCAGAGAGTGATTCTTTAATTTTTATTTAACAGAACAATTAAATCAAAATTATTATTTTTATTAGACTACTGCAGTTCTTAAAACCTTTATTTTATAGTTCTTTAAGTTACTATTTCTCTATAAACTATACAAACTTGAAATACTGCATTAGAGAAAAAAAAACTAAATAAGCTTAAATAACTTTTGTTACTGTAAAAAACAAAACTATTTAAAAATCAGTCGAAGTAAAAAAAAATATTTTGAAAATATTTTCTGAGATTAAAAATACAGGTTTATTTTTTTACTCTAGGCTGGTGATAAATAATAACACAGAAACAAAATTAGAGAAATATTTGCAATTTAAAAAAAAAAACAAGTTATATTAAAATTTCATCAAAGATTTTGAGTAGGGAAACAAGGAAACAAAAAACTAAATATCTAACAAACATACTAGACAAAACTGTATTGTTAATGTCACCTTGAATTAAACATTTCAAGTAAGCTAATACATTTTCTTGGGTTAAACAATTGTAAGATTAAGTTCCTATGTCACAAGTAAGACATAATAATTCATTCAGTTTGTTTTTCATTTGTCAATAAAATACAGATTTTATTTTATAGATATATATATATTTATATGTATATATAGCATTAATAGATTTAGATATAATAATATATACTATACAGGCATAATAGGATATCTTTCATGTAAGAAAATTTCAAAAATGTATTTATAAAACAACATGTATATTTACATCAATCAAAATTAGACGCCTTTACAATCATTCTTTTCATTTACAAAAATACGCACGATAATAAAAAAAAATCATTTTCCAGGCAAATTTCACCAGCATTTAAAAAAAAAATTATAATTTACATTATTAACATCTATATTATAAGTTTCACGAATTTTTTTTATATTAATGTCAACAATGGTGCAGACCAATATTATATTATTCCTTAAGAAACTATGCACACATGAATAACACATAGTATTTACATTCATGTTTTAATATTGCATATCTGCAGGACTGAAAACATGCCTTGATCTACACTTTTATGAAGAGAAGTGAGGATGGGTGTGAGGGGGGTGGGGGTTTAGGCAACAGATTTTTAATTATTCCATGGGGGGAAAAAAAATTGGATGCGTTGTTGGGGCTTCGTCATTTTGATCGTTAACCAGAAAAGAACAGCAAGTTTAAACCGTGAAACATTTTGTTTACCTCATGTAACAGAAGATTATTTATTCTGAACTTGATATCAGCACTTGAACTCAGGCTACCTCTAACCCATTCTGGACTTAGCTTAACATTAGCTATTTTGTACATTGATTTTTAGTGTGTTGTATTTTAAAAATATCAGCATGAATAATTACAATGCAATCAATTTTATCATCTGTATACCTTAGAATTGAATTACAAAGGCTTCCACAATGTGCTTAACATTTTCGTTATAATTTATGATAAAACTTATTCAACTAATTCCTACAACTATAATAAACTCATACAACAAAGGCCTGAATGTATTTAAAGCAGAATCCCACTGTAGGTTGAATTAATGTGAATAACTGGTTGCTGTGATAATGAAACAGTGTATAAGAGTAAGTATGTGATAGAGTAAAGCTTGATAAACCTGATATCTCTGATAACCAGCCAGCTAATGCTTGTATTATGCTACAGTAAAACCTGCTTGTTTGTATGTGATTACACTCTCGTATGCATAATATCTCATCCTTACAGTAACAAACCAGTACGCGTGATATCTCATCCTTACAGTAACAAACCAGTACGCATGATATCTCATCCTTACAATAACAGACCAGCAATCAGACAAAAACACAAGTGCCCTAACACTAACAAACATTTCATCAAGTGCCAAAAGTGAATACAATATTCTAGGTTTATCTTACAAACCTAATCTTCTTATCTGGCATGAAGTTAGTTTCTCATTTTTAAACTAAAATGATCTGTAAACAAAAGTATTACATTTTTTCTAGTAATTTAATAAACATCTTAAACTAATACATTAAGGGGTGTTTTAAATTAACAGATTTTTAACACTTATATTAAAGTTCTCTATCCTTCTTGCCACAAATCTAATTAAATTTCATTAAGTCATTATTTCCAAACAACCAAACATGACTTTTCTGTAGTTATTTCACCAATCTACCTAGCTAACAAACTATTATGCTTTAAAAAAAAAAAAACATTTGAGCTTTGATTCTTGCAACCTGATAACTGTACTGACAAACATGACAATAATGCTAATCTAAACTATCTTAAAAAGTAATACATTATTTAAAAATACTTTAAAAGCACAAAAAATTAGCTGTCGTAATTAATTAAATAACCTTGCACATGACAGAACTTAAAAAAACCAGAGTTCTAATATTGACCATATGATATACATTTTCCATTTCTGATATTTATCATATACAGATATATATTATTACTGACCGTATGCTTTAATTTCATCCATATAATACAAATTTCTGCTTACCTATCATCCTGTAACATGTAACATGATATATATAAATAACTAGTGAATACCTCAACAGCTAGTGTTATAAAACATAACGTCAGCATTTGAAAACCACACAAAGGTACATCAAGCTGTACATGACACAGTCATGAAAATAAATAAACACAGCTGCAAGGAGAGGACCAATATAGACAAGGCTCAGAAGCACTTAGATTTGTTTTTTTTTGTTTTCGATTTCCGGAATTAGTCGCCAATATCCGAGAAATTCCATTTACATTTGCATGTAAGAAGTTCACATCCAAGTGCTGACAGTTCAAAAAGCCCAGCGAAAGATTCAGTCAATTTAGCCCCGTGTGCTTGGATTCAAGCAGGCCAGAGACTAGTGTTACTACTCCATTTGCCTTGTGCCATTATCTTTTAGTTACCCGCTTGTATGCCTTGCCGCAGAGATCCCACCACGTCTATAAATTGTTAATGCCTGACTGTGAAACCATTTATTTTTATATATATAGCCATGCAGTAATGAAGAATGACTATCACTTTTCACTTTCCAATGAATGAACACATAATACAATCTCAGCTTATGCAATACTTAGAAGAAACAATTTGTATTCATCTAGACGATGCATGACAGATGTTCACAATTTGTTGTCATTTAGACGACGCATGACAGATGCCCACGATTTTTTTCCCAGCTAGATGACGCATGACAGATACCACAATTTGTATTCATTCAGACGAAGCATGACTGATGCTCACAATTTGTTTTTATCTTGATGTGTTTTCATCAACTGGATGCATGACAGATGCCCAAAATTTGTTTTTATCTTGATGTGTTTTCACGTTATGTCCAATGGTGACAGGCGGCTGGCACCAACACCATCAAGGCGTGGCCCTGACAGCACCAGCGATGAATACCTTGCTGCATGCAAAGACTGCACAAGCTGCTCAACCAGCAACAGGTGTGGGGCTAAGATGAGGGCGTTGTGGAAGAAGGCGATTCTGACATAGTCCTCAATGATGTGTACACGTTGTCTGCATGTGCCAGGCGCTCAAAAAAGGGGATCAAGTCCAACAACTCTGTATCATTCATTTCATCAAACCACGATGTCACAGCCACCTGTAAAAAAAAAAATTCCCCCTTTATTAAACGGTGCCTAATTTATGTCTATAATAATTATGTAGTAAAAAATTATTTAAAAACTGAATAAAGATAATTTGTTACAAAAATTATTTTTTTTTAAAGCCATTGCAACTAAATGTTCACAGAAACCGAATATATAAGAATCATTTTTTTAACATTTTCAACCAAATATACAAGTAATAAATTTAAACGAATATACTTTTTGTTAAAACATACATATTTTCACACCTATCATAGATAAAACATTAGAAAAAATATTTTTTTCACTGGTCACTTAGTACCCAGTACTTCTTAATCATTTTTTTGTAATGAGATAAAATTAAAATAAATCTATAAAACTTACGGCATTATCTGGATGGAAGATGTATGATGCAGGTGAATTGTCTATGATAACAACTTGGTTCAAATCCCGACCTAACCGGCTAAGGTCCTGAAATACAAATATACAAGATTTATATTTTATATTGATCAAAAATACAAAAGATTCACATGTTATAAAAACTAACTAAAAGGATCATGATTTCATCTAAAAAAGCTTTACTAGCCTAGATATTTTAATGTCTGATTATACACATTTCAAATACACTTCCTGTTTACTTTTTGAACATTTAGTTTTAATATATATTTAATAATATACGCAAAGACTTTAAAGAATAGCATTTAAATATTAAATATTTAGAAGTTGATGACGTTCGGCTAAAATGAAAAAGTTATAATAATTTTGAAATATTTAGACATAACGAGAATGTACTGACGGTCATTACCATACAACATCATTAAAAATAGTATCAACACTCACCTTGACATAATTTCCCCGATGAAAGACACATGATTCCCTGAAGAGGCGGCATCGAAAAACATTCCATTTGTCTAGCAAGTCTGCTACTGGGTCTGCATACTGGAAAACAATTTTTCAAGTGAGTCAATTTTATTTTTTTAACAAGTTGTTAGCTGTCATTTTAATACAATAAATGAGATATACATGCCTAGGAATAATTAAACTAAAAAAAGTTAATGTTATATGAAAACATTTTCCCCACAGAACATACTTATTTGCTGCGAGTTTTTTTTCTTCTAGACATGTATAGTATACATGTCACAAGTGTAACATTGAAAGATTGCAGAGGTGGTGGTAAGTGGGGAGGGGTTTGCTTTTATTGGTTTTAGATAAAAAAACTTTATTTACTGCACAGCTCCATTCTTAATTTTTATCCTTGGGAAAGAAATGAAGTTTCCATAAAAGAAATTAGTTTATTTAGAGTACACTTACCTTGGCCAAACTGGCAGTAAACAGGACACACTCAAAAAGTTCCCCCATGCGCTGCAAGAACTCATCTACATGCGGCCGCTTCAACACATACACCTGAAATATAGGACAGAGTTGATGCAGATACTTATACATCAGACAGATAGTCTACACACTTATGTTTGAAAATCAGACAGCTATAGTCTACATCAGACAGTCTACATACTTATGTTTGTTTATCAGACACAGTCTACATAATTATGTTTGTGTAACAACCCCAATACATTCTTTTGTTTTAGATTAAATTCAGTCACCAGAAACACAAACACATGAGTCAAAGATATCGTCCACATAATACAGTACAAAGGGGCCTGTTTATAACAATAAATGACAGTTACTATAAACAAAAAGTGGGTGACACAAGGGGGAAGAACTCCAGTGGCTGTCACATCACAAGGGAAGCAACAGTGGAGAAAATTTTTTAAAAAAGTGCCTACAATACAAAGAGACTATGTCGCAAGTCAATATAAAAAAGGATTAAGGAATTCTATTATAGCACAAAGTACTGTCTAAAATACTGTCTGCATACTAAAACAATTGGTAAAGACAATCAATGTTATAAACTAACTTAGTGTTTAGCTATAAAATAAAAAATTATTTATTAATTACAAGTTTAATCTGATTGTGATAACCAGTCATTTGAATGTAAGTATCATCATCATTTCCTGTTCATGCTCAAGACAAATGGGGCAGATGAAGTAGAGTTCATTTGCTTTAGAGACCTCTGCATATGAAGGGATAGTGTTTCCCTAACGTAAGTTAGATACCCATCAAAGTTGGGTGGACTCGGGGACGTTCCACTATTTTGAACCCGGATTTGGACTCGAGACTCTTAGGTTAGCAGTCTACCTCTCAACCACTAGGCCAAGCCATCCCATGAATGTAAGAATACTTTTATAGCAATGTCTCATCTTTTGGCTACAAAATTGTCATTGTGATCACCTACCTGATGCACTGTTCCATCAATCTCCACAGGGACAATAAAGTCAGCATTGTTTATGGGCTGAAAGAGATACAATTTACACATCAGTTACATGGGAGTTTATTTTACAATTCAACTATCAACAACTGCATTGTTTATAAACAAATGGGGAGCCATCAAGATTAAAAAGAATGAAGCTCTCTTCTAAACTAAATTCGACATAGTAAATGTATCGGTTAGCGCTCGTTAAATGGGAACATATTCTTAAAATTAAAATTTGTTTATTAAAAAATACAGGTTGGACGGTATGATTATCATACTGAGTTAGAAAATTAAGCTAAAAATTTCAAAAGAGGCAGGCCTGGGCTGAGATGAATGGATGACATGAGGACAGGCCTATGGCAGACATGGGAAAAATACAGGACAAAGCAGAGTGAAGAAAGGGAGTGAAGCAGAGCAAAGCTCTCTATGGATGAATGGATGGATTATCAAGGTTAAAAAAAATGAGAGTAGTATTAGCAGCAAAGTATTATTTTTATCTAAATCACTTTGAATGCCAGACATGCATATATACAAATGGCCACAGTTTAATACAACAGAAGTAAGAAAAATCAACTGTCATTTCAATGAAATTAATTTAGGAATTATTTTTAAAATGATCGCGAAAGTTATTTTTTACTTGTTTCAAACTATTGAATTCAATTTTTAAAAATTTAAAATGGATTGATATCTTTAAATCTTCTTAACTGAACACTATCATTGAAGTAAACTTTTTTCTAAAAATTCTTTGCAGCAGAAATCACTTCTACATTAATTCTATTCATTGAATCCTATTTACCTGGTTCTGATTAGTTTAACTAGCTGAGTTCTTCCAATAAGCAGTTCACCCATGGCTACATTAGCATGTTTTCACCATCCAACCCGCAGTAATTTCCTTATGGGAGTAAGAAACATGCAGGACTTACCTTAAATGAACTATGTACAAGAGTCTCATCCAGGTCAATAACTATACATTTCTTATTCATGTCCTGGTGCCTGACTGTAGGCAGGAGGTATTTGTCAGATGTCTGTGGGGAGAAGACAGAAATCTATACTGGCTTCACAGTTACAGCTACATTTCACTTTATCAACTGTTCTATACAATATTACCCCAAACCCCTTTTCATGGGTTTGTTAGTTTTTGGTTCACTAAGTTAACTGATATATGATAATAAATGTCAATTTTTTTTTACTTGTAATAATCTTGTTGGAAAATTTATAAAGGTAATTTTTATTTAACTTCAACTATAACAATAAAAATATAACAAGCCAAGATATAAAAATGGGAGTACGATGTAGGGGTAGAGAACAACCCACTAGCCACACCTTTAACAACCAACCTAGAACAACCCACTAGCCACACCTTTAACAACCAACCTAGAACAACCCACTAGCCACATCTAACAACCAACCTAGAACAACCCACTAGCCACACCTTTAACAACCAACCTAGAACAACCCACTAGCCACACCTTTAACAACCAACCTAGAACAACCCACTAGCCACACCTTTAACAACCAATCTAGAACAACCCACACCTTTAACAACCAATCTAGAACAACCCACTAGCCACATCTAACAACCAACCTAAAACAACCCACACCTTTAACAACCAACCTAGAACAACCCACTAGCCACACCTTTAACAACCAACCTAAAACAACCCACACCTTTAACAACCAACCTAGAACAACCCACTAGTCACACCTTTAACAACCAACCTAGAACAACCCACTAGCCACACCTTTAACAACCCACTAACCACACCTTTAACAACCAACCTAGAACAACCCACTAGCCACACCTTTAACAACCAACCTAAAACAACCCACACCTTTAACAACCAACCTAGAACAACCCACTAGTCACACCTTTAACAACCAACCTAGAACAACCCACTAACCACACCTTTAACAACCAACCTAGAACAACCCACTAGCCACACCTTTAACAACCCACTAGCCACACCTTTAACAACCCACTAGCCACACCTTTAACAACCCACTAGCCACACCTTTAACAACCAACTAGCCACACCTTTAACAACCAACCTAGAACAACCCACACCTTTAACAACCAACCTAGAACAACCCACACCTTTAACAACCAACCTAGAACAACCCACACCTTTAACAACCAACCTAGAACAACCCACTAACCACACCTTTAACAACCAACCTAGAACAACCCACTAGCTTTAACAACCAACCTAGAACAACCCACTAGTCACACCTTTAACAACCAACCTAGAACAACCCACACCTTTAACAACCAACCTAGAACAACCCACTAGTCACACCTTTAACAACCAACCTAGAACAACCCACTAGCCACACCTTTAACAACCAACCTAGAACAACCCACTAGCCACACCTTTAACAACCAACCTAGAACAACCCACTAGCCACACCTTTAACAACCAACCTAGAACAACCCACTAGCCACACCTTTAACAACCAATCTAGAACAACCCACTAGCCACACCTTTAACAACCAACCTAGAACAACCCACACCTTTAACAACCAACCTAGAACAACCCACTAGCCACACCTTTAACAACCAACTAGCCACACCTTTAACAACCAACCTAGAACAACCCACACCTTTAACAACCAACTAGCCACACCTTTAACAACCAACCTAGAACAACCCACACCTTTAACAACCAACCTAGAACAACCCACTAGCCACACCTTTAACAACCAACCTAGAACAACCCACACCTTTAACAACCAACCTAGAACAACCCACTAGCCACACCTTTAACAACCAACCTAGAACAACCCACACCTTTAACAACCAACCTAGAACAACCCACTAGCCACACCTTTAACAACCAACCTAGAACAACCCACTAGTCACACCTTTAACAACCAACCTAGAACAACCCACTAGCCACACCTTTAACAACCAACCTAGAACAACCCACATCTAACAACCAACCTAGAACAACCCACACCTTTAACAACCAACCTAGAACAACCCACACCTTTAACAACCAACCTAGAACAACCCACACCTTTAACAACCAACCTACCCGTGAGTTGCAGTTGTCCTCTGGAACTGGCGGTTGACAGCTGACCGAAGCATTGTTGTTGTTGTTGTTGCTGTTGTTGCTTTTACGAAAGCAGCAGAATATGGAGTCAATGAAGCCGCGGCTTCGAGGCTTCTTGGTGGCTGGAGCTTGTGCCGCCGCCGAGCCTACAAGAGAAAAATATTCTACATTCAATTCTTTGTCTGGTAAGCTTCATTTCTTTTGTAATACAAACTATTTTTCCTTGTCATTCAAGTATAAACTCAATTCTTTGTTCTTCAAATATTAATTACTATTCCATGTCATTCATATAATATGCTAACCGCTATTCTTTGTTCTTCAAATATTAATTAGTATTCCATGTCATTCATATAATATGTTAACCACTATTCTTTGTTCTTTAAACATTAACTACTATTCCAATTTCATGTCATTCAGATATTAACCTATATTTATTGTCCTTAAAAAATAATCTAGTATTCTTTGTTCTTCAAATATTAACATCTATTCTTTGTCCTTCAAATATAACCTACAATTCTTTATTCTTTATGTAAAAACCAAAAAGTTTTAAGAAATATAAGACAGACAATCAAGTGTTCAAACTGTATTGTTGAGACATCTGGAGTTATTGATAACAAATGCTGTGATGGTTGTTGGTATTGAAATGTAGTTAAACCATATATTAAATATCAATAGACAAAGGTATTAAAGTATAGCTACAATAGACAGAAATTATATTAAAATATAGTTACAAGAGATACAAATTATATTAAAATATTGTTACAAGAGATACAAATGATATAAAAATATAGTTACAGTAGATACAAATGTTATAAAAATATAGTTACAGTAGATTTCTTCAAACCCTGTGAACAGCATGAGGCCAGGTATTGACCTCTGGTTACCTTTACTGTGGTCAACACTACATGTCAATCCAGGTAAGGACACCAGTTATACCAACTGACCAGGTAATAGGCCTGGTTTACCCAGAGTTCCACTGGACTTGAATGACACAATTATCAGGTTATCTCAAGTTCAACACTACATGACCATCCAGGTCAAGACAATAACCTGACTGCAGGTAATACAGCCCTGTTTACCCATAGGCCTGTTGGACTAAACATGACAACATCTTTACCCATAGGCCTGTTGGACTAAACATGACAACATTGGGGTTATCTGATGGTCAACACTGCATGTCAGTCTAGATAATGACTCTAGCTATACTGTATGCTGACTGACCAAGTACTAGACCCTGTCTATCCTTTAATCCTATTGGTCTTAAACACAACATATTATTGCCATCTGTTGGTTAAATACTGCATGTAGATCCAGTCCAAGACAAACATTCCCTGATGCCTGGCTATGTACTGGTCCTAGTTTCCCCATCAGCTTAATAGAACTTAAACATTCAGACAAGATACAATCTGCATGCAGATAACAGCCTCAATAAAAGCGTGTGCTGTTACTGCAGGTTTTGCAACCAAAATCATATGAAAGCTGATCTATACTTGACAGGTCATTCTGTCCCCAATGCTTTACAACAGATATTTGAATTATCAATAACCAATACGACCCTTTTTCATTTTCAATAACAGCTGCATAATTATGTTAATTTTAATCGCAAGCAGTCGATAGAAATACCAGACAAAGATTATTCTGATTAAACTCTCGCTTTAAAGCATGAGCGGCTTTAAGATGGGAAAAATATGCCATCTAAAAGACTTAGTGGAACAGGTACTTCTACACAACAGCAACATACGTTGACAATAAAAGATTGATCAGGCACTGTTATACCTGGATTCTCCCGTTGTCAAGCATAACATTCTAAGACAGTCTATATTATAATGCACCCCGACTTCATATAAGATCGTTGAGACTGACAGTGTACCACGGCTTTTAATCTAAGAACGTACACATTACCTGATAAACGACTAATTCGGTTAAAGTATAGAGCGAATGAGAGGGTTTACTTAATGGGGGAAAAACAATAACGAGAAATGCAGACAAAACAAAGCCGGGGTCACGTAAATACAAAGGTGTGCATACGTACACACTAGATGTACACACAATAGTTGACCGTACACAATAGCTAGCCGTGTACATACAGGATGACGACACGAGTTTCCCATAGTACAACAACCACTCCACACGCAGTCTACACAGAGAGGGAGAGAGACCTTAAGCACGGAGCGATTCAATATTTACCTTGACATAACACACTTTTCAAATAGTAAGTCATAGCCAACTTGTAGGTTACGTCAGGCCAGTGGACCGAGACGGGCGGCAAAGGAAACTGGAGCGAAAACCAGGTCGGTTACGTCAGTCAGGAGAACTGAGACGGTGGCAGGAGCGACTGCTGGAACTAAGAGGATCAGGCTACACCGGGCACCAAGATGTAAACATGTTTGCCTCGCTAACACCATCAAAAGGTGTCAACACTAACACTATCAAAAGGTGTCAATACTAACAAAGGTAAAAAAAAATTACTGAGGCCGCTATGTCAACATTAGTCACATACCAACACTGCTACATAGCATGCACTAATTAGCCGTCGTAGTTTATTCCCTCAACCCTAATTGCTTTGTCAACACGGTGATTTGACAACAACAATACAAGAGTTTTATTGCATTCCGTTAAAAAAAAAACGCACCACGAGTATTTATTTTTTTCTTTAATAACGGCGAATGTGTAAAAAGGCCTCCTTGCCTACTGTTGTAACCATTTTAAATATATTTTATTATTAGTAGTAGTATTATTCGATTAGAGATATTTGGTGTCAGGCGTTTAAAAAAATTAGAATAGAGGGAAACTATTTTGGTTAGACGAAAGCATTTAATCCAGTGAACTAACATAGTCCACTAGTTAAGTTAACAAGTCTTCAACTAGCTTGAGTGCTTCACTAGTCCGTGTATATTGTACGTCTTACAATGGTCACTGAATTAACCAACTGAATCAACTAACTATATTTACAGGGCGACGACTACTTGAGTGCTTCACTAGTTTGTAATGTGCCTATTGTACTATTGTACACCTTACAATAATGGACTGAACTAACATAGTCCACTATTTATGTTTACAAGGCGACAGCTAGCTTGACATGTGTGTACATCACTAGTCTGTAATGTGACTACACGTCTTACAATGGTGGAGCAAATAAAATAAGAGTGTCACTATACTACACTGCTACACAACAAGGGGAGAGCACGCACAAGTGTCGCTGCACATCTTTCAAAGGTGGAGCACGAACAAGTGTCGCTAAAGATCTTACACAGGCAGAGCGCACATACAAAGGTCGCTAAAGATCTTACACAAGCAGAGCGCACATACAAGTGTAGCAGACACACATCTAGTACATAATGCATAGGACATGAAAAAAAAATACAGAAAGCTAGCAGCTCTTACCACACACACTTAGTGTGATGCAATAGACATAGCAATGTCATAAATCTAGTTAATTGCCCTCAACATCGTGTTTTAAGTGATGAACTCAGACACAGTCTGTAATAACTTTGGACACAGGACGAAAGAACCAAATTTATTTATTAAAAAATAATATAAAAAAATAATAATAAAAAAAAAGACCACATACAAATACAGAGGTGAATATTTATTTCCCCAAAGATTTTCCTTCCTAAATTCCTATTACACAGCGAATGATTGCTATTTTGATAGAAAACGTCATACAGCAAAGACGAGTGCTGGGTAACTAGGTTAGGCCCAGGGCTAGGGGCGGTGTGTGAGTGGGAGGGTATGAGGGTATCACAATGTTGTAGTTCTCCACTGTGATTGGTAGGCAGTGGCCGTATGTCAGCAGTGGCCGTATGCCAGCAGTGGCCGTATGTCAGCAGTGGCCGTATGTCAGCAGTGGCCGTATGTCAGCAGTGGCCGTATGTCAGCAGTGGCCGTATGTCAGCAGTGGCCGTATGTCAGCAGTGGCCGTATGTCAGCAGTGGCCGTATGTCAGCAGTGGCCGTATGTCAGCAGTGGCCGTATGTCAGCAGTGGCCGAATGTCAGCAGTGGCCGTATGTCAGCAGTGGCCGTATGTCAGCAGTGGCCGTATGTCATAGCCCGAGGTCCTAGCTAGCAACGCTTTAGCTCGAGGTCCTAACTAGTCACAAGTCATAGCTTGAGATCCTAGCTAGCCATATGTCAAAGCTTGAGATCCTAGCTAGCCATATGTCAAAGCTTGAGATCCTAGCTAGCCATATGTCAAAGCTTGAGATCCTAGCTAGCCATATGTCAAAGCTTGAGATCCTAGCTAGCCATATGTCAAAGCTTGAGATCCTAGCTAGCCATATGTCAAAGCTTGAGATCCTAGCTAGCCATATGTCAAAGCTTGAGATCCTAGCTAGCCATATGTCAAAGCTTGAGATCCTAGCTAGCCATATGTCATAGCTTCAGATCCTAGCTAGTAACAAATCATAGCTTCAGACCCTAGCTAGTAACAAGTCATAGCTTCAGATCCTAGCTAGTAACAAGTCATAGCTTCAGATCCTAGCTAGTAACAAGTCATAGCTTGAGATCCTAGCTAGCCACAAGTCATAGCTTGAGATCCTAGCTAGCCATATGTCATAGCTTCAGATCCTAGCTAGTAACAAATCATAGCTTCAGACCCTAGCTAGTAACAAGTCATAGCTTCAGATCCTAGCTAGTAACTAATCATAGCTTCATACCCTAGCTAGCCACAAGTCATAGCTTGAGATCCTAGCTAGCCACACGTCAAAGCTTGAAATCCTAGCTAGTAACAAGTCATAGCTTGAGATCCTAGCTAGTAACAAGTCATAGCTTGAGATCCTAGCTAGCCACAAGTCATAGCTTGAGATCCTAGCTAGTAACAAGTCATAGCTTCAGATCCTAGCTAGTAACTAATCATAGCTTCATACCCTAGCTAGCCACAAGTCATAGCTTGAGATCCTAGCTAGCCACACGTCAAAGCTTGAAATCCTAGCTAGTAACGTCATAGCTTGAGATCCTAGCTAGTAACAAGTCATAGCTTGAGATCCTAGCTAGCCACAAGTCATAGCTTGAGATCCTAGCTAGCCACAAGTCACAGCTTTGAGATCCTAGCTAGTAACAAGTCATAGCTTGAGATCCTAGCTAGTAACAAGTCATAGCTTGAGATCCTAGCTAGCCACAATCATAGCTTGAGATCCTAGCTAGCCACAATCATAGCTTGAGATCCTAGCTAGCCACAAGTCATAGCTTGAGATCCTAGCTAGCCACAAGTCATAGCTTGAGATCCTAGCTAGCCACAAGTCACAGCTTTGAGATCCTAGCTAGTAACAAGTCATAGCTTGAGATCCTAGCTAGCCACAATCATAGCTTGAGATCCTAGCTAGCCACAAGTCATAGCTTGAGATCCTAGCTAGCCACAAGTCATAGCTTGAGATCCTAGCTAGCCACAATCATAGCTTGAGATCCTAGCTAGCCACAAGTCATAGCTTGAGATCCTAGCTAGCCACAAGTCATAGCTTGAGATCCTAGCTAGCCCATATAGCCATATATCATAGCTTAAAACCCTAGCACTGCCATTATAAACTGGGCGCTACATGAATGTAATCAAACATTCCATGTTGTTGAAGCGTGGGAAAATCTACAGGCAATTAAAACACAGCCGAACAATGTTTCGCAATTACACGTTGATAGCTATTACATAGAGACATTGCGGCATCGTGAGTCTAGTATTCCAGAAAGTTCTAAGCTATATTTAAAATAATCGTGCATTGGGTAACTCGTAGACCTTACAATCATGCACTGGAAGATGGGATTCAAATGTTCAACAGACAAGTTACAAGGGTGAGAACGGTATAGGTCTATAAAGTAGAAGTTGGAGCCTCTAATTTCTTATCCAGGACAACACGCAATTCAAACAAGACTGATGCGGTAGACTAGAGGCTCGAAACGTGCCTTGTGATTAACTTCAATCACGAACTTTAAACAGACCAATGTTAAAGGTCCTTTGATCGACGGCAGACAAACGCAGACAAGAGTTATCGCCCCTGCACTGTTGTGCTTTCTAAGCATTCAACTGATTTATAGTGACGCAATGTACGTGTGTGGGGAAGGGGGGGGGGGGGAATATAGGAGTAATTAAGTTACAAGAAACAGTGATACAACCATATATCAGCTTACAATATGAGTGTTCATTAACTAATCACGCCATGACAATAAATGCCAACTTTAAAAAAAAAAAAATCAAACCTAGCACCGCCCACTTTTAATGACCCACAGGTCATGTGATCCCCGTCTCCCGGCCGCCACAATGCCTGTCCATCAAGTGGAGTGAAGTGGACACGCGCTAGGCATGTCATTATGCGCCTCATCTGCCTAAAGTAGGCACTGACTCGACAGCTAGCCTTAACCCAAACCACTTTGACAGTGGTTTAACAAAAGTAAGCATGAACATACAACAGCATTGTTCGTTGGCTAGTTTGAATGTTAGGTATTGTGAGTGTATGATTTAATTTAACCCCAAGAACGATGATAATTGGGGGAAAAGTTAGTAGCTACGTAATACAATGTAGCGTCTTAGATGTGCTTTGGTCAGTATGGGGAGAAAGAATTGGACTTCAAACATATTTCCAATTGGCTAATGTGATACCTAACCCAAAGACAAAACACTTTGATGGGTTAAACTACATGCGCATGGCTAATGTAATAACTAACCCTAACACAAACCACGATTATATCCACTTCAACATGACTAATGGCTACTAATTCTAGTCACTAGATAACTAACCCTAACCCAAACCACGATGACTAGTACCAGTGACTATAAATAGGTATAATGAGAGTTTTATAACTGCAGTCTCGTCACAAGAACATACGTAGTGCTCATCACGTGGTTGACAACCAATCTGTTATACCGTGGGGTAGGGGAGCGGGGGGGGGGGGGTGTCCTGCAATACGGGCAGGATTTATGGGGTCTGGGGGAGCTGTGTTTATAGACACGGGCGTAATGGTGGAGGTTAGGACACTGTAGAGAATATTAAGTTGGTGAGGTGGGTGATGTGTTGGGAGAGTTTGAGTGTGTGTGTGGGAGGGTTTGAGAGTGTGTGTGTGTGTGTGGGAGGGTTTGAGAGTGTGAGTGTGTGTGTGAGGAGGGGTGTACAGTGATTCTACATTGATGAAGATGGTGTTGGATTTTGGTATAAAGGTTTTTTAAATGGTGTTTGGGGAGGGGGGGGGGGTACAGTGATTTTACATTGATGAAGATGGTGTTGGATTTTGGTATAAAGGATTTTAAATGGTGTTTGGGGAGGGGGTGTACAGTGAGTCTACAATGATGAAGATGGTGTGGGATTTCGGTTTACAATAGGTTTAAAAATGGTGTTGGGGGGGGGGGGGGTAGAGTGATTCAACACTGTCGTTGAAATTATTAATTAGATATACTGGTTTTTGGTGTTCAAAATGTGGAGAAGGTGCATTACAGTAGTGGCTAAAAATTGAGATGGTATGATTTTACAGACGCGGCCTTAGTACAGGTCAGTGCTTTATGTTGGTCTTCTATTACAGTTGTTCTTTAACTGATCTTAAAGCATTGACGCAAAACTGAGGTAAAATGTTTTTTTTTTAGACAAGGACAACTAGTAGACCTCTTTCGTGCACCACAACATTGACCTACGGAGGAAGGCCTTGGAATACAATGGTGTTATAATTGTGGCTTAAGCGGGTTAAGTCAAAAGTAGGACGAGGGGTTTCAAGTGCGACAACAGTAAACAGCCTGAATAGATAACACACGACTGTGTTGTGCTACTGTATCCTGAGTGTCCGTGTGCTTACGGTACACTTGGCTCGACACACACAAAATATAAACAAACTGCCAGAATCCTATAGGTCAAACTGTATCGAAACTTTTCTGGATAGTGACAGATAGTTCTTGTTTTACAAACGTCCAATTTAAAGCCAGCTAATGTATTTTCTTCCTGAATTTTTCCCATTGTGATCCCAGTATGGATTAGTATGTTACAGTGAAACCTAAAGAAGTTTAATCAGCTTGTTGCATGTTGCACATACTGGTTGCACACCAGATGTTTTCGGACGGTTGCAACCGCCTATACCTATATGCATATTATATATATATATATATATATATATATATATATATATATATATATATATATATATATATATATATATATATACACTTTATTAGTAGAGCTGACACGAACACAGGTGATATATTACTGAAGTGAGCTTATATTATATTTAATATTTCAAGTCATACACGCCTGACATTTAATGTATGATGATAAGAACAACATAGCTGCATTTGATACATTAAATATTTCAAGATGACGTAATGTGGGAAGGGAGGAGGGGGGAATCCCAGAACTGACCTGACTGAAATAATCCTTTGAGGAAGTGACGTATCCTGTGCAGCAATCCATCCATACATCCCATCTCGCACGTATCATTATCAAAGCTGTCGTTAAAAATATCGTAAGTGTCCTTGTCCTTGCTCACGCTGGCTATCACACAATAAGCTTCGTTTTCTCGAAATCGGGACATCTTCACTCGAAATTTTTTCTTACAGCTTCGGATAATTTGATATATAAAGCCAATCAGATTTCTACTGGAATACAGTCTACATCAGCTTTATATCGAAACAATGTCTGTAGGTTGAATATAGATACACAACTAACCCAGTCTATGCCAGTTTCTAACGAAACAACTATAATTTTCCTACAAAAACAAGGTATGCATTAATTACCTCTAGAAACACGCACTAAGTTTTCTATTAAAACAACGTACGACTTTCCTTCAGAAACAAGGCGTGCATTAGTTACCTTTTAAAAGCACGACAACACAACTTTCCTCTCGAAAATAACAGCTTATAGGATATCTATTAAATCAGACTACTACGAAACAGATGGCAAGGCGGCTTTTTAAAATATATCCCTCCGAGGACGACTACACCGAAATACGCTCCAGCATTGCCTAATAACTTGACACGACTATAATCACGTTGTGAGGGATGATGCTTTACGACATCCACAGCGCGGACGTCAAGGGAGTGATTACCCCCTGTCGTCTCGATACAAATATAGACGCCAACACCCAGCTATTATACACAAACTCAGAACACCCCCAAGGTTGACAACTCGGTCACGGTTCAATCAATCCAGAGTTGTCTGTCGCTGCGTCCCTTTTTATACCGTTCGCTGAGTCACAGAGGATGGAGAGAGTGAAAAAAAAGTGATCGAATCTTACACAACGTTATCGCGGCCTTATCAGACCGGCTGAGCGAACATAGATCTTCAATACAACGTCATATGCTATTTTAATTATCGCCATCGCTTACTCGGATTATAAATGGCTAATTTAGAAACAAAGGATATCGCTGATGTAGTGACGCGGTCTATTTTAGACAGAAGCAACCGGTTATTTTAGGATCAGATGTCGTCTAGAGTAATGTAACTACATCTCGTATCGGAATTTTCTCATCCACAATGTATTAATAATACACGTATGACAAACGTCATTTATTTCAAAAGATTTTTTTAGAAACATGCGGTATGACGATTTCTATAACACGATTATAGAATATGCAATGCACATTCTAGATTTTTCTTTCACCGCTAATAACTGTTAACCACAATGACTTTAAGCTGTTATTATAGGAACAATAACTAAACTTTATGTACAGAAGAGGTGTACATATTCAGTATTTTATTTGGGCTATACACACTAAATAGTGCACATGTACATAATCACTGCATGTACACATGCGCATAACTGCATGTACAAATTAGCATATCTACGTGTACATAACTGCTTTTACGCATGTAAAAAAATGCATTATAAACAACAGCTGCATGTACACTTCAGCTCAATACATAAGCACGTCTCACAAAAATTGCTGACAACGCACAGTTTAAGGAACAGATCCATCCAAAACTCAACATATGGATACTACAGTCTGCATGAACTTCAGACAACTTCAGAGGAGCAACAAGCAGAGAGAAAGTGGACCTAAAGCCATTGGGAGTCAACAACACGGTCGACGTTAAAAAGGCAATTTACAATAAGCAAATAGCATTTACACGGGCCAGTAGGAGAAATAGTCACTGGGAGGATTTAAGATGGGGGGAAGGGGGGAGGGGGGAAGAAAGTAAACAGCTGATATTCTCGCGAGAATTGAAATGGCCAAGAATGGCTGAACCGTCCAGACTACATCAATATTAAATAAGACAACTCGCTATGACAGTGTTTTCTTGGGCTCCAAACCTGGAATAGGGGGGGGGGGGCACACGAGAAGGTCTGTGTGTGACAGACGTGCTATCTAGAAGTGCTCAAAGGGGTGTGCATGTGACACGCCAGTTGGGCTTGAGGTGCTCAATGGCTTGGGTTATGAGTGAAACGCGTGTTGGGGTATGTGTGTGACACGAGTTGGGGTATGTGTGTGACACGCGTGTTGGGGTATGTGTGTGACACGAGTTGGGGTATGTGTGTGACACGAGTGTTGAGGTATGTGTGTGACACAAGTTGGGGTATGTGTGTGACACGCGTGTTGGGGTATGTGTGTGACACAAGTTGGGGTATGTGTGTGACACGAGTGTTGAGGTATGTGTGTGACACGCGTGTTGGGGTATGTGTGTGACACAAGTTGGGGTATGTGTGTGACACGAGTGTTGAGGTATGTGTGTGACACGAGTGTTGAGGTATGTGTGTGACACGAGTGTTGAGGTATGTGTGTGACACAAGTTGGGGTATGTGTGTGACACGAGTGTTGAGGTATGTGTGTGACACAAGTTGGGGTATGTGTGTGACACGCGTGTTGGGGTATGTGTGTGACACGAGTTGGGGTATGTGTGTGACACGAGTGTTGAGGTATGTGTGTGACACGAGTGTTGAGGTATGTGTGTGACACGAGTGTTGAGGTATGTGTGTGACACAAGTTGGGGTATGTGTGTGACACGAGTGTTGAGGTATGTGTGTGACACGAGTGTTGAGGTATGTGTGTGACACAAGTTGGTGTATGTGTGTGACACGAGTTGGGGTATGTGTGTGACACGAGTGTTGAGGTATGTGTGTGACACAAGTTGGGGTATGTGTGTGACACGAGTTGGGGTATGTGTGTGACACGAGTGTTGAGGTATGTGTGTGACACGCGTGTTGGTGTATGTGTGTGACACGCGATCTGGGGTCTGTGTGTGACACGCGTGTTGGGGTATGTGTGTGACACGCGTGTTAGGCTTAAAAAGATCTCCAAGAAATAGATTCACGCAGCAAGAACAATCCTAAGTGGTATTTAACACCAGCTGTTGCTCAGCAAACAATATGAACGGATAGGTGACGGGGGGTGGGGGGGGGGGGGTGGAGAGAGGCTAGAGAAGAAATTGTTGGACATACAAATGGCTTTTTTTTTTAATAAGCATAAGATAAGAGGGCTGTACTCAGATGATGTAAAACGTTGTATTTAATATAAAATTCTTTATTCAAGACTATTGGACAGGCGATGTAGAGTTGATCTGTTTTTAAATGGTCCCGATAGGGGATTGTTGTGGGCTAGTTAAAACACAGTCAACTTAAACCGACGTGTGATATTTATTAGAAACACAAATAACAGAACTACAAGAATAAGATACAAAATAATCTAACAACACAATATAAAGATGCAAAATTATATAAAATACATCGACACAAGAGTAAGACCAAGATATAGATACACAAAATACATCAGCACAAAAAAAGACAAAGAAAATAACACAAGAATAAGACACAAAATTATATTAACATACATCGACAAAAGAGTTAGCCAAAGAATACAAGTACAAGAATAGGATAAAATATTATACAAAATACATCAACGCAAGGTTAAGAATACAACTACACTTAGTTAAAACAAAAATGCTGATCGACCTTCTAAGACTCACTTGCTAGTTACGTAACCTACGTACTCAATCCCACTTCCCCATTACTATACAAGCCAAACCTTCAATAAAAGTCAAACCACCTGTTTTTCTATTGGTGAAATGTTTAGCTGGTGATGAAATATTCATTTCGCCTCTCTCTAAACTATAGATCAATAACAGCAGTGATGTGTGTGTGTGTGTTTGTGAGGGGGTTGGCTCACCTTTCAATAACAGCAGTGATGTGTGTGTGTGTGTGTTTGTGAGGGGGGTCGGCTCACCTTTCCTACCGCCGGTTGCTAGGTTGGCCATAATGGAAGCGATTAGCACGGCCCGGACTACAAGGAGTATAGTCCGCCAGCCACAATGGGCTCCGTCGTGCACGGGTAATTGAACTAACGTGTCTTGACACTTGTGCAGGCCGACGGTAACTTGTTCAGATTGTCTGCTTAGGGGATGGTCGTCCCCCCCCCCCCCTCCCCACCACCCAGCCATCTCAATGTTAACTTGTTCTGGTTGTCTGCATAGGTGATGGTTGTCTCCTTTCCACGGGTTCAGACTGTTTGGATTAGTGATAGTCCACCACCCCCATCCCCATCCCCACCAATGACGTTAACCGGTTCAATCTGTTTGGATTAGTGATAGTCCACCCCCCCCCCCACACACACCAATGACGTTAACCGGTTCAATGTGTTTGGATTAGTGATGGTTCACCTTCCAACGATGTTACCCCACGGAGATCATGTAGTATGGATATAGGTCTCCCCTTTTTAACCCCCTCCCTCACCAATAATTGATAGCGATAAACGAACATTGATCTTGTTAGATGCGTATCAAAGCTCACGTAGAGTACTATCATGCTCTAGTAATGAGAGGTAGTTTCTATACAAGATCCTATATTCATTATCATTTGTGACACTTGTTCAAGTAATTCAATTTATATGTGCAAGGAGATGGCAGCGCAGAAAAACAAAATATAATACAGAATGCTAGCTGTTTCCTGTAAAATAATGCCAGTTTGTTTATATTCTTAATACTAATTTTCAAGTATCAAGTGCTGTATTGAGTAAACCGTAAGCCAGCCTCTAACGTAAGCATGAACACAGAGATCTTCACCAGCACATTAAGCTTATCTCAAACTGTGACATCAATGTCATTATATCATGAAACTCTCAGCCACAAACGTAAGCATAGACATACAGATCTTCATTACAACAACAATCCTATCTTTAACGGTGACACCAATGTCGTTATATCATGGACATATATGGACATGTAAAGCATAGACATACAGATCACCACAATAAGCCTGTCCCTAAGGTGACACCAATGTGGTTATATCATCAAGCTCTCAACCTCAAGGCAAACGTAAGCATAGACATACAGATCTACACAACAACAACAAACCTATCTTTAACGCTGATACCACAACCGCTGTACACTAAAGCTCTGACCCCATAATCAACAAATACCCGCATTTAGCGATTAGGCGTACTTAGACGCAGTAAAGCCAAGACGAACACACAAGAGAGTACAAATTACTACCCTTATACTCACCAAACCATCAACATAACAACTATTAATAAGTAGGTAATAAACACGTGCGTAGTATTCAGCGCTTATAATAAGAACAGGTGAAGAATTTATAAAGAACACTTAAAGACAGCCCGACAAGTGTTAGAAGAAATTCCTACATAAAAATACACCAGTTTTGTAATTCTAACGAATTAATTCTAACGAACTGCACGGAGATGGTGGCACAGCGGAAAAAAGAAAATCACTCGATAATTGAGGTGACCATGACACAGAATCTCGAGCAAAGAAATACAAAAATCAAACATGTTGAGTGTCACCCGTACCGCCCCGTGAGTACACCCGTGCACGCACGCACGCGCTCAGCCGGGAGACCGAGAAACAACAGAGTTCCTGACCATGAATAGTCGAGTCTGGTGCATTAGAGTGAGAGCCAAGTTCAAGGTGTGTTGTGTCGCCAGTGAGTGTGTGTGGGGGGGGGGGGGGGGGAGAATAGTTTTCATAACCACGGCTAGCCCATGGTGGTCAGAGTTAGATCGATACCAAAACAAAAATAGAAGGGGGAGGCAAAGGCTGCAATAAAGTAAAGGGGGGGGGGGGGGAGAAACTATGCCCCTATAGAGGAAGAGAGAGGCAAAAAGGATGCACTAAATATAAAAGGAGAGACAGAAATGATGCTCCTTAATAGAAGATGAGAGGGAGTCAGAAACTATGTCCCTATGTAAAAGAGAG